ACTTTCCATGCTAAGTCTCAGTTTGGAATGCAATTCTCTTCCTTCACATCTCCCTGTTCCCATCTGCCTAGCAAATAGCTACTTATATTTCAGGGCCCAGCTCAACTTTACCATTCTTCATCTTCTGTGTCCCCCTACTCTCACCCCAGGAAGAACTGACTACTTTATTTCTGGGGCTCCATCTCCACGTATACCTATATGTAGATATAGATATATTGTCCATGTCAGTTTGCCTCTCCTGGACTGTAAACTCCTTGAAGACAATGTCTCTGTCATGTGCATTTCTGTACCTTAATGTCCAACTCATAGTAGAAATGAAATAAATATTTGACGAATGAAGAATGAACTAATTAAAAATGGAGCCTAACCTGTGAGCAAAGGCTAAAACAAGTACGATGACAGTGGAACAAATGTTGGTCACAATAGTGTACTGAATCATCACAAAGGCTTGTAGATGGGTACCTCTGCTATTTGTAAGACTGGTAAGTCTCAGTCTGTACCAGTGAACAAGGCGGGTGGGTATTCTCTAGAGTGTAATCTGACTTTCAGGGACAGAAAATTGGGGTGGGGCCTCACACTGACTTGCTTCCTTAGCAATCTGTGAAAACAAAGCCCAGCAGAACAATTCCCCCCTTTCCCAAAAGTTGGCACTGGCTCAAGTTTTTCTTTTCCAAAATACTTTCTTTGGTCAGGCAGCACTCCCCGCTCTATAGCTGTTAGGCATTAGTGTGCTCTGAATTCGTTAGAGAAGGTTGGTCCTGAATACTAAACAGATGTAGAGCCCTGAGTTTCCAGAACGGGAGTCGAAGGATTGAAATGCGCAACAGCCATCTTCTCTGTTCTTACTGTTCTAAGCTTCACCATAGCAGGCGTATTTTAGAGACTGGCCTTAAACTATCCTAATTTCTACACCTGAAGTGAGCAACAAATCATTTGAGACAGAAAAGTTATATAGAAAAGTGTTTCAGTTTTACACACACATGCATGCACCTTGTTTCCTGACAAAAACAACACTTTAAATCCAATCAAAATCAAAGAGACAAGATGCGTACAAAAGAAAAGACTTTTTTTTTAAATAGCAAAACTTTAGTACTAAGTAAATGAGCAAAAATAAACCAGACAACGATAACAAAAACCACTTACTCCAGATAACCTATTAATTTCAGATGGAAGGGCTCCAGGCAACAAGAGAAAAAAAAAATGTGACCCATGCATTAAGTAGACTGGATAACTAATTTAAGATGAGTAGAAATGGCCAAATAAGTTGTCGTGCTAGAAAGTAAGTTTTGGACATCCTGCTTTCATGTCACTAAACAAACTTGTGAAAATGCTCAGAGAGACAGAAAGAAGGACTGAATTTAGATGCTGATTTAATGCATTCAAGAGCATGACTTATCTTTCCCCTGCCCTGGTACAGCCTGGGGAATCTGTGTATATGGCAGGCAACACAAGGATGCCCATAAATAAAGGGAAGTCTCATTCATCCAGAGACTCAAAGAAGCCAGAGACACCCCATTTTTTTCTGCCAACAAAGGCGTACTTCCAACCTTTGGTGTACCTCACACACCAAAATATAAAACCAGATTTTTCAGCTAGAGAGAATCCATCTAATTTTAGCTTTGCCCAGGCCTTGGCATGAATATGCTGGAAATTTATTCTGCTGCTCCTCTTTCCTTAGGTGGCCTTTTCCCCCGGCTCCAGTGGGATCCTGACCAGCTCTCAGAAGCCACACAACATGGTTCACCTTAATGAGATGCCCAAAAAGATGTGATCATTTGGTAGCAATGCTTTAAGCAACCCAGAGCCCAAGTCCCCTCATGGTAGCCCACAGATTGGGTCTTAGAGAGCTAGTATATAAACATAAAAACCTGAGATGATTTTGGGTTATTTGAAAAAAACAAAAGGCAGAAACCCACCAGTCAGACAACAACAGCAAGTTCAATTTCCATCAGTTAATCAGAGTGTTAATCAAAATGTCTAGACAGAGTAGATCATCACTGTCCCTTCCTGAATTTCATTACCTGCTGTTTCCAAACACGTTGTTGAACTCACTTCTGACACCAAAGCAAATGTTTTAGCCTCTAAAGATAATTGAGATCGAGGCTCGACTATTGTTTGCGTTAATCCAACCTGGTTTAGAGATGAAGTACCTAAGTCACTTTGTGACTTTACATTCTTTTTTCTTTTTTCCCTCTTGCTTTTAGTGTTTAAGCACATTTGGAAAGTAACCATAGAAGTCTCATTCTAGCTTTTTTGGCCTTATTGATAGTCTTGGGTTTAGGATAAACTATAAGAGAAAAGTGGAATGTATATGAAAAATATGTAGTTGGGTAACTTCGCCTCCCAGAAGTGAGGGCATTAAAGCTGTCCTCCCTTCTGAGGTGTGAGATGTTAATAACCCACCCCATGGGCTCCATTATATAGCCATGTATACGTTCATCCAAATTAAGAAAGATTATTTCTGCAGACATGAAAGGGGTTCAGCAATTTTGCAATTTAAAACAAAGAGTGAGATACGGAGCACGTGCATTACGTTAGAAATGAGCCGCTCTGAGGTGTGTGAGAATGAGCAGCACTGGGAGAGGCCCACAAAGGGCACACCCACAGGATGGGGCTGGTAGACCCCGGGCAGGGCTGTGGGTCCAGGTGGATATGAGATCCAATCAGCCTGAACACATGCTTCACAAACCAACCTGGACACGGCACAGAAAAGAGGCAAGACACCGTAGGGCAGCATAAATGATTTGTACCTTTCTCAAATAGCTTGGTACTTGGGTCTCCCGGGCAGTTCTGAGTGATTGGTTGGGGGAGAGGGGGTGTCACCCAGTTCCTCTTGGGTTCACCTGATACCATGACATGAAAATAGAGTCATTTAAAGGACAGGGATGTTCAATGACTTTGGCCACATGTAATGACAGATTTGGGGGCAGCCTTCTAGACCCATTTGAGAAAGGACAAATACTCTTTAGCACTCGAGACAGAAAACTGGCTGATTTAGCTTAGAACAGTGGCTACCATTGCAGCCAATTTCAGAACGTCAAAAAGGAAGGTAAGTGTTTGGGGGAAGGTCGTCATGAAGGTTGCATCCATCCAAGGCTGGGTTGGTTCGTATTGGGATATGGGGTAGAAATTTATCCTTACACATGTAGAACACCACAAATCTAATTAACAATGTCAAAAATCTATTTTCATACTTCACTCACACAAAACATCACTCTTTCATCTCCGGGGATTTTTCAAGTTCTAAACTACAATCAGCCCTTCTTTCAAAATAACAATAATAGATCCTCTTATTCAGCCAGATGGTGGTGTCTGTTGCACTAGGCTGGGTTCATAGTACAACATCAATAAATGGCCACTTGTAGAGGGACAGACAGGATGCCATTCATAAACACACCTACACCTCTCTCCTTCTCCCATCCTAAAATATCCCATTGTCAAGACACCATGGGGGCTTAATCTCATTTGGGGGAAGAAAGGAAAACTAGAAAAGGTAAAACAATATAAACGGAAAAGCAATTTCTTCGGGAAAAATAGTACATTTAATCTCTGAAGAGAATGATCACAGGTGGGCTTTTTCAAGTGTTGTTTTGCCCTTAGGGACCATTTGAAAGAAGGAATTCAACAGTTTTTCCCAGTCCTTGAAAACCTGTCTTGGTGAAAGCTGCACACTGTCAACCAGAGATATTACAACTGGGAGATGGAGTTAGAATTCTTGTTGAGTGAGTTGGCTGAGTCTTATGAAATGAGTATTTGTTCCAATTACATGTTCCAAAAAATAGATAACTCATTTTGAGAAGGAAAGAGTATTGGCTCAAAACCCATCAGGGAAGGGAAAAAGACATGCCAGTGTGTTCCATGGCCAGTGTGCACACGATCTTCACAGGCCTGGGGGACTCACACTACCTGGGACTGGCAGGGGTTGGGGTGGATGCTGACTAGTCTTTGCTCCTGCTCTTAATAAGCTATACTACCTGGTTATATAACCCTAATCCATCTCCACAGTCCAGGGCTCAGATGACTGGCCTGTCAGCAAAAAGTGTTAGAAAAATGTTAATTCAACAATGTTGGAAGGATGTTATTTCTAGAGCTAAACTCCTCAGGGAAAATGAGAAATCGTTGCTCCTGGGATTCAACTCCTCCACACTGACAGACATTTCTTTCCTGATGTTTTCTTCCCAAATAATTTCCCAATGCCTGGGGTGCCCTGACATTTGGTCCAAATAAAATGCTGGAACAGACTCCTAGGATACAACTATCTTCAAACTCTACACAAGAGGGGTGTTTATTATAGAGAATCAGCATCCATTAGGGCATGAAACATCGGGGGCCTGCTGGCACTCGCTCCTCACATTGAATCACTTCATGATATAGACACTATTTCTTTTCTGGCTTTACAGCAACTCAGTTTATAACCTAAGGCATTTTCCATACTTCCAGGCAACAAACACTAGCTTCTTTTGCGTCTCAATAGCACATAATCTAAGACAGTGGGAAAAAGAGCTGGAGAATAGTTTCCAGTACAAGGAAAACACCATGCAGATGTTTGCCTTCACTCCTGAATTCTAATGGCAAAACTGAGAATTGTTTATTTGTTCTGAAGTCAAACCCAAGGAATTTATTTGTTAAAGGCTGGGGGCTGGGGTAGGGGTGGGAAGTAGTGACATAACATATTCCTGATATTGAAATATTCAACACATGGACCTAGGATTTTGAACCCCCAAAGAATTTAGATCTTTTTAAATGGTTGATTTCTTGATCAAATTTGGCATACCAGATGTCACAGAAAGGACATACCTGAATAAACACCTGAGGACTATTTTGCTAAAACTGTACATTCACCTTTTGTAATTGGTTTTTCTCCTCCAAGATAGCAAGCTAGGAATCAGTCCTCTATCTTGAGCCATTTATTGAGAACAAACAAATGAAATTGGAAAAGACATGACCCAATTGAAGTTAAATACCTGACTTTGGTGTATGAGAATCATAAACTTGCTTACGGTCTATCTGGTCCGCAAACACCTCCCCATAAATCATCCAATAGGGCATGTAGAAGATGTTCTTGGCCAATTTCCATGATGGCTCCTCATTGGGAAAGAGAATGGCTTGCCTGGCGACCCCAAAACTCATCAGCACCACCAGCATAATGATCACAAAGTACATCATGTCTATCATCTGGAAGGGTGGGGAAGCAGAGGAAGAAACAAAAGAAAACCAGAATGACTGAGTGTTTCTATGACGTTGACATTGATGGAAACCTCTGAAGGAGGTTCACTTTCAAGACCACTAATAAGGGATGTTGAGATTATGAGCTGTGTTCAGGTAAGAGAACACTTGGTCTGTTGAAGGCAGTGTCTGCAGAATCTTTATCAGTAACTCAAAAATCATGCACATGCATAATGGAACCCCTTCGTTTCCAATTGTTTTCTGTGGGACCAAGTCAAGACGAGGCATGGGAGTCATATAACACAGAAGCTCGAGTCTCTGTATGAATGCAGTACTAACTTTTTCTCTGCTCCTGCGAAAAGCAAAAGCCCTCCTTGGGTCTCTTTCTTCTTAACAAAATTGGAATTGGGATATTTGAACTATTTCAAGAACTATGCAATGCTGTAAATTCCCTTAATTGTGAAAGGTTAATGGAGAGCAGAAAAGCACAAGGAAATAATCATTTGTAAACAAAGCTAGGACAACCCAAATATCCATCTTATACCATCTTATTCTTGCCTCATTGTATGGTATTCTACCACAAACCAGGCTCTCAGAGAACCACTCTTTCTGCACTTTCTTGGGCAGTACATCCTATGAGTTGTGGGGGATGTTTGTGTAGGCATTTGAATCAGGTAGCCTAATGAACCATTCCTGTGATTACTGTTGAAATGCTGGATTTTCATCCTGACATGTTTACAAAATTCTCTCGACTCCATGCAAGTACAATGTTATTTCCTGTTCCTCTTTATTATTTATTTCTTTTTTGCTTGTTTCCATGATACATGTTTTCTGGGATCTGTTTCTCATATGCCAAATTACTTTCCTTTTATCACTGAAAATAGATGAGGATGTAATAACTATTAGTTCCCTGGCCAGAAACCATTGCCTCCTTCTTTTAGACATAGTTCCCACCCATTCTGGCCACAAAGGTAGGTGTCTTTTCCAGGCTGGGTTAGTCATGGTACCTTACCCTCTAGCAACAGTGACAGGAGGTAGGCATGTGATAAGGCAGGCCAATTAGAATCTTTACTTTGTTTTTTTCTCAACTGAAGATGAGAGAGAGAAGCTCCCTTTCTTTCTCTGTAATGATGTGAATCCAGAGTATCTGATACTGAGTATCCTACTAGTGAAACTGATCAGAGTGAACAAAGCAGATAGTCCAGAGAGAAGAGAGCATGTCATGATGGTAGTTGAGGGCTTGGCTACAGTAGCTTTTAAGTTCAGTTTCATCATGCCCTGCTGTAAATCAACATACCCAACCTGGATTTAAGCTAGCTGGGGACTGGTTTCTATCCCTTGCATCAAATCATCTAATACAAAAGATCACCTTCTCTTGGACATCAAATTTCCTGAAGGAATGTCCATCCACAAAGAAAGACCCATCATAATTTTATCAATGGTAATGAAGGCTTTAAATTAGTTCTAAAATTTTATTTTGCAAGAATATATTCCATGGTGCCTGTTATTGGGATTAAAATATTACAGCCTTCCTGCTTGTCTTTAGGGCACTGGGGGCTTAATATATTTTAGGTCAATTAATCAACTTTAGAGGCAACTTCAAAAGCTCTCTCTCAAGTATTATCTGCCTTTGAAACAGAATAAAAATCTTTCAAAATTTGATATTCATATTTGTTCACTGTCCTTAAAGGTATATGCTAGTTAATTAGTTATTCTTTTCACAATTTAGTGGCCTCAGAACTCTCTTAAAAGTAAGCAAGCCAGATGTGTGGAAACAGTTTTATAGGAAACATGGGTCAGTTTCTCATCCTCTCTCTCTTGTAAAATTCTTTCATCATCTATTTACAAAAAGTTCTATTAATGAAAAAAGCACGAATGGATTCTTCATGTTACATTTGTTTAGACTGATTAAAAGGTGGGTGGGGGGAAGAAGGCGTGTACTCATGAGATTTAGGAACTGGTTTGACCCAAGAAAACCCAGCCAGTAAATACAGCAGCTGCGCTCATCTAATTTCTCAGGACTGTTTTTCCTTCAGCTTGAATGTAACGTCTACTCAAAGGGTCAAAACAATCGAAGAGAAGAAACATTGTTCCCAAACACTCAATTTCATCTATTTCAAAGAAGTCTTAGCTTCCATACAAATACTGAAATATGTTGGAGTGAAGTGCAGAAACAGGACATTATGAGTGAGAACTTCAAGAACTTCTGTTTTTGAAGCTAAACTATCCAATTGGTTTGATATTAAGAGAGCTGATTCTGTCTCATTCTTAGAAATATCCTTCGGTTCTATTCTATAGAGGAGAGTACATACTGTAGTGATTAAGCATGTGTTCTCAGATGTCAGAATACCTAAGTTTTCATCTTGGCTCTGCTAGTAAAAACTGGTAGGTGATCTTGGGCACATTGTTTGGTCTTTTTTAAATTTGTAAACTGGAGATAGTAATAACAGAAATAATGCATACTATTTTTGTAAGGATTAAATGAGATAATGTGTGAAACACAATGTGGGTAGTTATCAGGAAATGTTAATGTGTTATTATTAGAATTGGAAAGAGGTAGGGCTGCGGAGTCAGACAGCAGTTTGAATTCCTCCTTTGTTCCTGGCCCAGTTTCAGTTTCTTCAGTTGTTAAATGAAGACTCTAAAACCGATCTCATGGGTTTGTAATGATGACGGACAAGTCTGACATGGCATTTGGCATATAGTAAATGATGGCTATTACTGTTGTTTTTATTCTACATAAGTGAGCTTTAGTACAAGGCTGAGAGAAGCACTGAGAAGTGGAATGTGAAGGAAAGGGGTTGGAATTTCATTAAGTGATCCTGGATCTGAAGACCAACTTGAATCATACTTGATCAGTATCATGTCCAGGTATGTTAGCAGCCTACAGTCCCTAGGTCACAGGGCAGAGTGAGTTACTTGGCTATTTAGGACTACACAGGGGCTCTCTGATGCTGTGGGGCTTTCAGTATAAGCACATCTGGGCATATTTTGTTAAGCTTCTGGCCTGGCAGTCCATCTGGCTCACTGATAATTTCTGTAGGCATATTTCACCTACCTTCTAGATCACTGACTCAGTCACTGAATTATCTTAAAAGCCACATGAAAGAGAACAAAGCCCCCCAATATACTCATTTTCTACTTATTCTTGACTGATAAATGAAGTCATTCATAAGTTTGAAAGTAGAAAAAATACAGTACATCTCTCTTGCTCACTCTATAGTAAGGTTTCACTCTCATCAAAACTGGGGATAATTATGGCATTATTAAAAAGATAGACATGAATTTTAAAATAATCTTCCTGCATTAGTGTGATTTTAGTTATTTCCAGTAGTTAAAGGCAACTCAGTCTTTTAAGACTAATATATCTGGCTTGTTTGGGTCTTTCCACATTTTATTTATTAAAATAAGGTAAGAATCAATCAGAAAAACAACCAGATTATGTAACTGCCTATTGTAGTGGTTCTCAACAGAGGGCAAGTTGCTCCACAGGGGACATATAGCAATGTCTGGAGACGTTTTTGTTGTGTGTGTGTGTGTGTACATCCACGCACGAGTTACTGGCACCCAGCAGGTAGAGGCCTATGATGTTGCTAAGTACCCTATGATGCACAGGACAGCCCTTCCCACCAAAGAATTATCTAGTCCATAACAGCAACAGTGTCAAGGTTGAGGAAACTTGGCCTAATTTTGCAGCTGTTATAGTTCTTTACTTTCATTGGGTCCATTTGAGAATATTGGAAAATCTCATAGAAGCTTGTCCTCTCTATCCAGGGAATTCATACATCCATACATTTATATATATAAATTGTGTGGAGAGCCCACAGATCCTCACTCCTAAATCTCTTTCAGAGACTCTAAGTTGAGACTGTCTGCTTTTGCATGTAGAAAATTCCACCACGATTTCAAATTCACTACTAAAGTACAAAGAAGATGATTTAAGAGGTAGTGTAATAGAGTAAAATACACATTTTTTTTCCTAGTAAAAAAAAATCCCCAAATGAACTGGGATTCAGTTTTGGGTAAGTAACTCAAGCTTACTGAATTCAAGTTTTTCTCCTCTAGAACGGGCTTTGTGACATTTGCCCTTAACAGTGCTGGTGTTATAAATACCAAGCTTTTGTACAAAAGGGTTAGGAATAGAGCAGAATAAGTATGCTCACCGATTTTCCCTTTTTTCATTGTACTTTAACAAACATAGCATGAACATGGTAACATGTGAGCTAGACGCTATTGGACATTTAATGTGTTATTTCTAATTATCACAATAACCTTCAATATGCATTTATTACTATTTGGAAATGGTAAATTGCATCTCAGAGAGGTTAAATAAATTATTCAAGATCTCTCCTTTTAGATTCAAACTCCCTCTCTGTATGAGTTTGTCAGTGCTTTTGTAGGAAGTCTTGGCTGTTTAAGAGTCATTTTAGTAGCAGTACATACCTTCACACACAACAGCAATCATAAACATTGATTTGGTGACTGAAAGGTAAGCAGCAATGAGGTAAACAGAAAAACTTGGGTGAGAGTGAAAGGACATCTGTTGACCAATTGTTCGACTGTTTCAACAGTTCATACAATGGAAGTGGAGTAGAGGATATCAGCAATGAGGTTTTTCAGTAAGAGGTGTTTGCCACAGTAAAATGGATATACTTGGCTTTTCACATATGCCCTGAAAAGGTTAGGTAAGGAACTCACTTAGAAAAGTAGGGTAACTGATAGAAAGCACCCAGCTTCTGGGCTTCAGGCTCTGATTTTTCCTCTGGGGAGTTTGAAGAGGGAGCTGATTTACTTGTGTATGCCCAGGATCACACTGAGGCTGTCCTACCAGGCTCAGTCTTTAAGGAGAAAGTCTGGACACTAGTGGACAGTCAAGGAATATTGGAACAAATCCACAGCCATGTGTGGGGAAGCCTATCAGTTTGGCATTTGGGATTCTTTTTTTCTGGAGAATAAGGTAAGTAGGGGCATGATTCTGGAACTCAGATTTTAACAGACATCAATTCCCTGTAATGTAATGAAACACAGGATATATTGACAGAACTTAATGTTCAACTCAAACTCAGTCTAACACAACTCAACTCAAATAGATAAACTATGCTTTTTCCCCTTTGTGTGGGGAGAGACATTGTAGAATTTATTAAGACAAAAAGAATCTGTTAAAAATTTAGAGTGTAGATCAATACCATCTCCAATATCCAGCTACAATGTAACTTCCATATGAAGCCTTCCCTGACCAACCTCTTCTCTATGCTCTGTTGTATTTTATACACATCTCTGTTACAGCATTCTCACACTGAATGGTAATTCTCTCTTTCTCTCATCATCTATCTCACTGAATGAGTGTCTTTATATACTCAACGCCTACTTGGGTGCCTGGTACAAAATAGATGATGTTTATATATATTTGTCTAAGTGAATGAGTGAGTGATGGTTAATTCTCTAGGTATGTATATAGATGTAGTCAAACTTCCGAACACTCAAAAGGTATTAAAAAGGAAAACACCCCCAGAGCCATTTCAGACACTGACAGCAGGTCAAAGTACATTATTTCTCTCTTTCTATGATAACCATTCCTTCTCTGAGAACTTGTAACATGGAATCAGAGGACCCTGCTTACCATTTTTCCAATCATCATTACATATGGGCCCAAATACTTGTTCACGCCGAAGATGTCTAACAGACGAATGTACCAATAAATGATATTCACACAGTAGATGACTCTCCCATCACTCCTGAAGGGCTGGTCTTGGAGACGAAGGATCATTCCAACAGAGAACAGAAGGATGGCTATGAGGTCTGTGACATTCCAGTACTCCTGAAGCCACACCTTCACTTTTTGTAGCAACTTCCCTGGCTCTGACATCAGAATCTAAAAGGCAGGGAAGAGAGTGGGGTTAGGCCTGATTTCTGTCTATACTTTCAGCCCGGTTGGCAAGTGCGTGATCTGTTAGATGACATCAGTAGGCTTGTTTTGTCTCCCTGTATCTACTCAGGACTCTGATGGCCTAAGCTTAACTCAGTGTATGTAAGCAGTAAGTTTAATAGTTTAGGTTGCCTTACAATTCCAAGACACACATTAGGGTTTTGCTATAAAATTATTGATTCCTAATACCCTGCAAATCTCCGAAATTCTCCATCTCTGAAAACGGTATCACCACATTGAGTTACTCAGGTCACTAACTTAGGAGAACGCCTTTAATCCTCTTTCACACACATATCCTCTGCATCAACATGTCGGATCACCTTTATTTCTAAATACAACCTAATCCAACCACTTCTCACCACCTCCACTGTTGCCACTCTATCCTAAGCCCTATCACATCCACCAGAAGATTGCCACAGCCTCGAACTGGTATCCCCGCCACCTTGTTGCCCACTCAGCTGTAATGTATTTGCTGAGAAGACAGAAAGATCTTTCAAAGCCTAAGCCATGATCAGGTGGGTATTACACAGTTGCATGGCTAGGTAAAAACTCATTAAGCTGTTCCCTTATGAGCTGTTCATTTTCTTACAGGTGAATTATACCTCAACTTAAAAAAGAGACGAGAGCTACGTGAACAACTGCAAAAACTAAAGCAAATTATGGTAATTGAATACTTAAGCCTTCTGATGGCTTCCATGACAAATACAGAAAGATTCAAACTCCTTACGGTGGCCTCATTTCACATCCCACTGTATTCTCCCCATTCTCCACCCTGAGGCTGTGGTGGTCTGCTCTTAAGCATAACAAATCCATTCTATACTCAGAACACTTGCACTTGTTCCTTCTGTTGGGCATTATCTTCTCCCAGATTTTTACATGCCTGGCTCCTTCTCACCCTCAAGGTCTCCACTCAAATTTCCCCTTCTGAGGAGGAACTTCCTTGACCACCCTTCCTCAGGGGTCTCCACATCCCCAAGTCATTTTCTAATATATTATCCTATTTTTTGAAGATTTCATCACTATGTGGAAATCTTCTGTGTGCATGTACATGGGTGTGTAGCTGTGTGCCTGTCTAGCCAGCCAGCTATCGCCTATCCACACACTCCTCTCAACAACCATCCCTCTCTCTGGTCATCTAGGTCATCTATCATCTCTCTCCCCTACACTGTGAACTTGGAGGACAGACCCTTTGGTCCCCAGGGCCTGCTACACAACAGACCCTCAATAAATATTTGTTGACTGACTGACTTGCAGACACCTCCTAGCAATTCTCCACTCTTGGATATCTTAACTGTGGGGAGGTACTCTGACTTATTTTAAATCTAGATGGGCCTTTTGCTAGCCCACACTCTATGAAACACAGTCAGATAGTAGGAGTTGCATCCCATCTTGCCCAGGATGTGAGGAGCCTCGTGAGGTTATGTAGCAGGTCTACCTTCATGAATCATTTGTATTTACCTCTGAGATCTCCACCTCTTCAAGCCATTACCCACCCCTTTCCCAACTCAGGATCTCAAAGGAGAGGAGAGCACAGCCTGGGGACAGGTCTAATCTGTAGCTAATTATTGGAATTCTCACGATCTCCTTAATGGCTTGCCTTGGCCTGAAATACTAAGGAAGGGAGGTCTTATTAGTAAGTCAGGACTAGGGCTTGGAAGGCTGAGCAAGACAACCAAGAGCCACCTGGCAGCCTCATTCTTTGAAGTGCCTCATTCATAAACCCTAGTCCTGAGCATGCATCGGGATAATCTGGATGGCTGGTGAAAACACATCAGATACTCTGGTAGCCCCCATCCTAGAGTTTTTGCTTCAGTATGCCTGAATGGGACTTGTGGATTACATTTCCAACATGCTCCCAGGTCACGCCAGTGACCACAGTTTGGGAGCCCCCCGCCCTCCCGATGACGAATTCCTGCAGCAGCTGCCATGCTGACAGCTTCTCAGCCAGGCTCCACCTGAACTAGGCAAACCTTTGTGTGTGCACGTGCTGGGTGGTGGGGAATGCCTTGGCATTCATTCCTCTAACCTTTGGCCCACACTTTCCTAAGGTTTATAGTATAACTTTTTAAACTAGTGAACGTAATCTTGTGAAATCTCAACATAAAAAGAGATAAAAGCAGAGTGTCTGGGGGTGAAGCAGGAGTGAAATAGGCACCTTCCCTTCTCCAGCCAGCTCTTAGGCGCCTCTCTTAGGAACTCGAGTTCTGAGAAGCAGCCCAGTTTGCAACCACTGGGGGAGTGGAAAAAGTGGTGGGCCTTGAGCCGGGTCAGTCCGATTTAAGATCTGGCTCTCCTTTCTTGCTGTGGGATGCAGAAAAATTGCTCAGTCCTGGAGTCGTAGTTCCCATACCTGTAAAGTGAGGATGTCCTCACAGCTGTGCCATTTATCCCATGGAGTTGCCGGGGGGAGGGGGCAGGCCCCAAATGACAGAACGTCTACAGGGCATCGTGAAAACAGTTACACGCAATTAAGGGATTACCGGGGCTTGTCTTGGTGACTATGCACAGAAATATGTGGTGCTGGGAAGGGGAGGGCAGAATGGGAAACCACAAAGCCCTCCTTGTATGTCCCTGGGAGGGCTTGGAAGCCTACAGACTTTTCCACATTTCCAGGATCTTGCATCTGAGGTCTCGAGGGCCTGCGTGCTGACTGTGAGGAGGCATGAGGTGGGACCTGTGGGGTCCTCACCCGCTTGGCAGTTGAGCATTTGTGTCAGGGGTTCAGGGACATGGGGTGAGGGGACAACTGGGCCACAGAGGAAAAGCTCAGATACTCTGGTGGTCAGTGCCTCCCGCCCCACAGCTTCCTACAGTACAGGGACTCTTCGCTGACCCCCTCCTGACCCCAGGCTCCCGAGGCCTGCCCTCTCCGCTATTACATGCCGCCTCAGGAGAAATAGATATCCAGGCCTTGAGATTCCTGGCAGCTCGCCTGCTTGGCAGCCTCTTCTAGAACAGTCCGTGGAGTACAGACTGCTCCCTGTCTTCTTCCAGTGTAGTCCCTGGAGAGATTCCAGTCTCCCCGCTCAAGTCTTTCCCTTTTCTGCTTATCATGGGGAAGGAATATGCATCTGGGCTTTAAATCACAAAGCCAGGGAGCTGGCACTTCACAGCAACAGAGCCCTCAGCAGTAGTGGCCTCAGTTCTCAGAAAGCTATACAAAGACCAAAGTGAATTTATTACTGTTTTTCAGTTTACAGATGGAAAGGCACAACACTGTTCAGGAAGTGGAAGGCACTATGAATGGGAAAAATCTAAGTGTAGATGACTAGCTGGAAGGAGGCAAAGGTATCCGTTAAAAAAAAAAATTCAGTCCCTTATAAACTGGGACTAGCGTACCCACCTCCATACTCTCAGGATGGGGGCATGGTGATTAGAATTTAAATATTCCCCAAAGCAGTTTAAAAACTCAAGAGAAGGGATCTAAATATTTATACATGTTTGTCTTTTTAAAAAAATGATCCCAGTTCAATGACATTTTTTTTCTCTGGAGAACATTCTAGAGCTAAGCCCTAAGACAGGAAGACCCTTTTAACCTGTTTTAGTAACGAAGGCAAGGGTGGGCTTGTGGGTTTGTAGGAATCCTTTTTTCCTATGAGCTCAATGTTTTCCCAGTCCCTCTAGTACAGCAAGCAGGGTAGTCCCAGAGCTCATGAGAATGTAGTGGACTTGACAGGGAGTAACTCTTACAGAAAAGGCCTCTCCTGCTGACTGTAGTTCCAGGGGGGAAATGCAGAGGAATGTCACAGGCACAAGCCTGCCTCCCCTATGGGTTTGGGACTGGGATTTGGGAGCGTGTTGGGCAGGGTTGCAGAGCCCTCTGGTGGATTATTGCTTGACTACATTCATCCTAAGGGCTCTGAATCTGATGGCCCCTGAGGCCAGCTTTGACTTAAAGTCAGTCACAGGAGGGTGGCGTTTTGATGGCTCCTTTTCTGCGAGGGGGTTGGAGGGAAAAGAGAAGGCCCTACCCTGTCAACCTGAAGGACAAGAAATACGCTCAATTTGCCTAGCGCTGGTGGCGAGACTGGTATCCAGCAGGTACATAATAAATACTGAGAAGGAATAAATTAATGAATGAAAACATAGCCCCTCTTAGAGCTGCTGAAACGCATCTGCAGAATCATAGTTATTGGTAGACTGTGTCCAAAGAGACCCAGAGTAAGGAACTGCAAAGGGAGTTAAAAACGGACAATTTGAAAATTTTAAAAAGATTAAAAAATAATTAAAAGTCCTGTTTATTAGGACGAGGAAAGATGGGTGTAAACAGCCTTGAAGACAACTGGAGGGTTTCTTGGGGCGAAGAGCTGTGCTAGCAGAAAACAGACTAGATCCCAAGCATATGTGGAGTGACAACCCTATAAACACCCTGAAGCCTCCTAGGTTTGTCAGCAGCCGTCAAAGCCAAGTTCTTTATTTCTGCAGCAGCATTAGAGACAGCTTCTGGCTTAATTTGGATCCTGAGCGTTCCCCTCTCCCCTCCCTCCACAGATGCAACTAACCACTGTCTCTCTCCTCTGTTCTCTTTTGTGAAAGCAGTTACCTCTCTCATCTTTTCTATTCCCAGGGTGAAAATATAGGAAATGACGATCCATTCCTGGGTAGAAGGCCAGCGCTCCATCTTCACTAACACGATATAGTTGAAGAGCATCAAGTAGCCGATGTACGCCAGCTGTAAGGAAACACAATACAGTGCTCTGGCTGCGAAGACCCGGGAGCGCGGCAGGACAAAACAAGATCAGCAAGCAGGACTAGGAATTCATGACACAATGAACTTCGGAGTTCTCAATTATGAAAAGAACTTTAAAAGACTTTAATATTTGAAATAATTTGATAAACAACCTTCCTTTTAATCCTTGCGTGGGTCTCTGAGTCCCAGGACTTTGCTCGTACCTATGTGTCATCATTTTGCTTTGTGTTTATCCCATTTCTTGTGTTTTCCTGGCTAAAAAGGGAACCTCTTCTCTCAGGGTCTGCTCTTGCTCATGCATGAGCCTTGGGTCCTTGGACTAGGACAGCACAGTTGATTTCTGCCTAACGAATGCCAGGTAGATTAAATGTCTGTGAGAAGGGAAGGCAGACACATGCTACACTTGTAAATTAGTCAAACCAACATAAAAATAGCCTGGACTTTCTTGGAGCCCCACTTTAATTCTGATTTAGTGTCTTTTTTTCCTCCTATCTTAATGTGCTTGGCTTGGCAGTGCCCTGGGAGGGTTTTATGTTTTATCCCTGGACCATCTTCCAGCCCTATCCAAGCTGGGATATTCCCTTCCTGGTTTCTGTTTCTTTGAAGCAAAACCAGAGAAGACAAAGCAACTTACAGGGAAGAGTCAATCTGCAAGGCCGATTGTAGCTTGGAGTGAGGTTTAATCCTCACGAGGCAACAGCACCCGAGGCTGAACCCTGATGGAACTGGTTGAGTAGCTGGGTGCCCAGAAAAACTCAGGGTTTAGGTTTGGTGACTGTTACTGGAGGGTTCAGGTATGTATGTCTAGATGAGTAGAATGTAGGAGGGCTGGTGAGGTTCTTATGTAAGGGGCTGAGGAGCCTCTGGAGAAAAGATTCACTCTAGGGGTAATGGCATGAAGCTAACTAAAGCCTTCCTAGGCAATGCTTCAAGTTGAGTAAAGTACTTGCTGGCTTTAGGGGCCTCAGGGGCTGAATAGGAACTAAGAGTGAGTTAATTCAAATGTGTACTCTTCAGAGTTTCGGTAACAAAGAACAGGACACAGTGTAGGCAGAAGGACTGAGGCCTTGAGAATTCTTGTGATAGTGTGACTCTCCTGGAGCCAGCTTAGAAGGGAGAGAAAGATGGAGCCTGGCTGGGAGATAAAGGGGAACGAGCGGCCCTGCAGAGCTAGAGAAACGCTGCTTCTTCTGCATACGGGACCTCTTACCTCTTCTCCTTTCCATCCCCCCTTTTCTTCTGTTCTTCCCCCCCTTGCTTTTCTTCTGTTTTTCTCCTCCCCCCTTTTCTTCTGTTTTTTCCTCCCCTCTCCCCACTTTTCTGTTTTTCTCTTCCTTTCCCTGCTTTTCTTGTTTTTTCCGCCCCACTCCTCTCTTTTTGTTTTTACCTCCCCTCTTCTTTTTCTTCCCTTTCTCCCTTTCCATTCCTTTCTTCTTTTTAAAATAAATGAATACATACATCTTAATACATCTTCTCAGACCCTATTATGTTGACAGATTTACAGGCACAACTATATAATTTCTCATCTCTTGAAGGGTGGGCGTATGTCAGAGCTCAGTGAGATAACGTATGAAAGTGAGAGGGCAGCTATGAAGGTGCTGGAGGGTCAGCAGCACCCTCCATCTAAGGGATTCCCGCTTGTCAAGGCACCGTCTTTTATTACTGTGTCTTAGTTCCTCCCTCTCCTCCTTTAGCATCATTAGCACGTTATGAAAACCTCACCTGACAAGAGTCTACTCAAACTGAAATCGTGTAGGGTGGTGTTTAAAATGCAATTTGTTTCATATGGTTCCTATTTACCATTAGACACTTGCATCCACTCTCTAGGCCCTGTGAGTACTGTATTTTACAAAACACAAGGAAAGGACTTCAATGTTTAAATGCTAAAATACACCCTCAGTCTCCTTCTGACCTAAAATCCTTCTCTCTTTCTTTCTGGTTGCTTCCTTCTCTTTGTTGGATCAAATTTCGTTGCCTCTGGGGAAATGAATCTTGTTAACTGCGCAGGTTTTATCTTTTTACCCAATTCATTGCAAAACATTCCAAAGCACTATCTCCTCTTGTCATTTGTAGGCCCAGAGACACACACACACAATTCTTCCAGAACCTCTGCATTTTAGTAGTGAAATAATGCCTTCAATCTGCCTCAGTCCTCTGAACAGGTCTAGTGTGCTTGTTTGGCAGAAGGATTAGTGTTTGGTGGGAGGAACGCAGATGGAAAGCCAGTGAAACCTGGATTTAAATTCTGACTCAAGTACTTCCACGCTGTATCGTTTTGCATAAATCACTTCACCTGCCTGGGCTCCTGTGAAATGGAGACGATTGTTACTCACCCTGTAGAGCTTTTGGAAGTGGGAGGGGAATACACCTCTATCTCCTGACACAGTACAGAGGCCCAGTGAATGGTGGCTGACATGATTTACACCTGTTTTTTCAAGGAATTTCTGTTCCTCTTGTCTCCTCTTACCTCAGTCTTTCCTTCCTCTTTACCTCCTGTTAACTATTTCTGCCTCTTTTTTAAAATTCTTTTTTCAAATTGACCTCATTGGTTATTCCTCCATGATTCCTGTCTGTTCTTTACAACACAGTTACTCTACAATGCTTTTCTTTTCATAATCAAGCTACAATATGGTATTTTGGGACAACTCTCAAAATATGGACTTCCAAAAATAAGGTTTTAAACATGTTTAAATGGCAGAATAGAGGATTGGCTGCTGCCTTGGAAGCAACCTACATGAGAACTCGCTAACATTCATGAAGCCTTGCTGCATGGCATGCTTTAATGGTGTGTGTGTATGAATATATATTCACATATACACACATATATATTCCATAAGCTTTAACAAGCTGTGTGTGGAATGCCATAGCTTTGAAAAGAAACATAATTTTATGATTTTTAAGTTAGTGGGAATCCTGTAAGAATTTGTATTTTATTTGCTTATATATTCTTTTTATAAATTTGCCATTAACTAAGATGCATGACTCCTAAAACATGAAACGCAAGCACCAAAGCCTGTTGAAGCTGCCTGGGGACTCCTGGTGGGCTCGGCCGTTCCTAACTTCTTCCCAGGCCTTTTCCTACTGCCACCAGAGAGTGGAGGGGCCCTGGTGTTACTAGAGAAAGGAGTCTGTTCCTGCTGGAGAAGCCCAGAGCACACCCTGTGTCCTCTGACCTGGCACAACTTTGCACCCTGAATTGGCATCCTCTCTAGCTAGGCACCTGAAACAGCCTCTCATCACAAACCAGCCTGGGAGCCAGTTGGATTCCTGCCTCCTTTCTTCTTGGAAGAGAAGAGGCTCCAACCTGCTCCTCTGGAAACTTGCTAGGATACAGAAGTAAGGTTTTTTGGAAATGAGGTGTGATCTACCTTTCAGAACCTTGGGAGTGTAGAAGGGGATACTTTCGGAAATTAGAGTGGAAAATACTCTTACAGAACAAAGCACAGCCAAAAGCAAATGGGACCTTTGATATAAAGCTGAATTTTATTTAAGCATTTCTGGGTATCTCTATTTACTTTTTTGAGGCCTGGGCCTGGTCAATATATATGGATTTCTGAAAATCATTGTAGAAACACAATTGGACATGACTGGAGCATCCACTCTGATGGGTTTGCCAAGGATAACTCAGTCAGCCACACAGAAGGGAGCTGGACAGACTGGCTCCACTTCTCAGAGAGGCAGCCTCACAACCTGCAGGATATGATACAGGGAAGCACTGTGTTCTGAACTTCCCGGACCACGAGACTCATCTGGGAAGCTGGTTAAACACACAGCCTCTCGGGCTCCTCCCTGGAGATTTCATTTAGTGGGTCTGTGCTAGGGCCAGGAATTTGCATTTCTAACAAATCCCTTATCATCATGGAAGTTTTGGAAATACTGGGCTGAAAACTCAGCCCTTTGCCTAGGGCAGTGGTTCTCATCTCTGGCTACTCATTTCAGCCACTTGGGAGCTCTGAAGTATCCTGATGCCTGTACTGTGCCCCAGACCAATGATGTCAGAATCTCTAGGAACAGAATTCAGGTATTTTCTTTAATAGATTACACAGAACTTAGGTGTTGTGTGTGTGTGTTTTTTTTAAAGCACTCCGGGTGATTCCAATGTGTAGCTAAGGCTGAGAACCACTGGCCAAGGCATTCGTGATTTTAAAACATTCTTGGCTAATAAACTGCCTCGGCTAAATAAATGGGGACTAGAGGAATCATGGAAATAAAATTAATACTGAACACAGATAAAGAAAAAAAGAGATGCGTTGGAAGGATAAGAGAAGTGAGTACTCTATTTGTAAAGGTGATAGATAATTCTTGATACTACTACTTCTACTACTACTACTACTACTGGTTTCTTTTATGCTCTAGATCAGGAGTCTGTAAACGTTTTCTCTTAAGGACCGGACAGTTTTTAAGGCTTTGTGGTCCAGGTGGTTTTTATCACAAGTAATTAACTCAACAGTTGTAGCACAAAAACAGCCAGATTATAGGTAAATGAATGAGTCTGGCTTGTTCCAATAAAACTTTATTGATGCACACTGAAATGTGAATTTCATATAATTTTCCTGTGTCACAAATTAATCTCCCTTAAATTTCTTTTCAACTCTTAAAGCTCACAGGCCACAGTAATGGGCAGTGGGCAGACTTTGCCCAGGAGCTGTGGTTTGCCTACCTCTGTCCTAGGCAGAGGCAATTAAGGCAGTCTATTATAAGAGAAAGGACAGAGCTGGGTGTAAAACGTTATCTTGATAGAAATGCTAGCTTAGAAAATGTATATATAAAGCGTGTAGAACAGTGCCTTGAAGTAGGTGTTCAAAAAGTGAAATTTTATTATTGCTGAGTAGGGGATGAATAAAACACTGACTATTGCTCTGCAATGGGACCAGCTTAGGAATAACAAGAGTTTCATTTACATTGAGCTTGTATGTTCCAGGCACTGTTTTAAGTTCCTTACATATTTTAACACATTTAATCTCTACCCAGCCTTATAAAGTAGGTACTATTATTATCCCCATCTTAAGAAAACTGGAAACAGAGTGCTACAGTAACTTGCTTGAGGTCGCATAACAATAAAGATGCCCAGAAAGGATTTCTACTTAGGCTACCTGACTCCACAAAGTCTGTGCTTGCCACCACTCAGTTGTTATCAGCAAGGTAAATAAATGTACATCTGCACACAATATACACATAGAAATGATATTTGCATGTCTTAGTTATCTTTTGGGGGGAGAAATTTTTCTTTTTTAATTTTAATAAATTAAAATTTTTCCTTCACTAAAAAAAATCTTACTTGAACTTTGATAATTTCCCATCCTCTTTCAAGACAATACTTGAAAGCAGTGGTTTTCAACTTGTGGCAGTTTGACCCCACAAGGCAACATCTGGCAACGTCTGGAGACATTTCGGTTATCACACTTGGGGGTTGGAGACTGCTACTGGCATCTAGTAGACAGAGGCCAGGGATGCTGCTAAGCATTCTACAAGGCACAGGACTGCCCCCCTCAGAAAAACTACTCTACTCCAAATGTCAGCAGTGCTGAGGCTGGAAAAGCCTCGCTTAGAGCCAGCGTTGAGTGTTAGCCTACAGGACCTCATCTGGTCATTTGCATCATCTCAGCTTCAGACTCGGATTATCCTGTTGCTGACTTAAGTGACTGGTGTGTAGCTGGTTGTGACAAAGGTCAAAAGCACAGATGCACTGTCTTTCATCTGGCACAGCTCCACTGTAGCTGGAGAGCAGTAGAGATGACCTGGGTCAAAGCTCACCCAAAGTTTAAAATATCATGAAAAATAGATGCAGAAAACCAACCTTTGAGCCATTTCTACCAAATCAGGAGGCTATTTCAGGGATAATCCTTCATCTTGTGGGCAGAAAATATTTGCAGGGTGTGCTTACTGAACAATATTTGCTGTGATTGTAGGTTGCTTTGCGTGGTTTCTGCTGCTTTGGTTTGCATGTTTAACTGTGTCAGAGCAAGAGAGGTGGTTTGATGACACCACCAGATTGGGAGTAATTACACACTTCTGCTACCCATCTTTATGGGGCTTCTCCTAACACTCTGTTCAGCCCTTGCCCACCAAATGTTCCCCCAGACCCAGGCCTGGCATCTAAAATGGGAAACTCTGATCCAGCACTCATCCATCCAGAACAGGGAAGCGTTCTGTCTAGGACCTCTGTTTCCCTTCTAGACTAGACTCATACTCATCTCACCTCTATTTCTGTTAGTTCTCACTTTTATCATTGTCTTTGTTTTCTGCAAGGAGGAGAAATGTAGAAGCTGTGGAAGTTGCCTCACAAACTACAAATCTTGCAAAGTAGTCTTTATATTATGAGGAAACCACCCAGGTGCATGAGAAACCGACGTTAGCTCTTTGTGGCCATCCATTATTAAGAAGAAAAGGAAAGATGCTTACAGTGTAGAACCAGAACTTCACAATGGGTGCATTGTAGAATTCATAGATTTTTCTGCCCAGGGGGATTAACCGGTGCCTGCTCTGAACCTCCTCTTCATCCTTCTTTCTGGAGGACTCCCCGTTGCTTCGTCCCAACATTGCCTACAGTGGAAGAGAAGGGATACCATCACAGCAGGGTTCTGGAGAGCACAGAGGTCAATGTGCTCATTCTACAGATGGGGAAAGCATGTTGATAGAACCTAAAAGCTTTGTTTAGGGCCCCGAGAGATTCAAAGGTTGCACCTTCCCTAAGTGTGCATTTGCACTACACAAAGAATCTGTGTACTCTCTGCCTGGGATGAAAGGCCTTAGGGATACTTCTTGATCATGCTCTTCTCTTTCACCCTGGAACCTCTGGAGGCTGTGGTGATGGAAGATACCCAGAGTTCTGAGAGGGAGAAAGAGAATAACCTGGAAAGACCAGGAATTTGCCTTTCCTCCCAACCCCTCTCCCCCTCTGTATATTGTAAGACAGGCAGATCTGGGTTCAAATTCTTTCTCTACTCATATTAATTACTCTTAAATCAAAGGTGAATTGACCAGTAATATCTAATTTAGCCAATGGTTATGAATATTCAAGATGTTAAGTTATCTGAAGTGCCTGGAACTTAGGAACGCCTACCCAACCCTTAGGTATGTGCCTTGGTTCCCAGATTCCAAACCCCGTAAAGCCTGAATTAATGCTGGTGTTAGTCTGGTGATTCTAGTGACTCCTGGGCACACTGCCTCCTTCTAAATGGAAGAGTCGGTCAGATGAGACTAGAGAAGTCATGTCTGACCTGGTAAGGCCCTCGTCTCCAAGTTGTTGGAGACTAACTTAAGAATTCAGTTATTTCCTTCTCATTCCTGACTACAGCAGCAGTGGCAGCAACAATGATTAAACATCACAAAAAAGGCAGAATTTGAGAAAAGGCAGGCTCATGCCTGCCTGGGTAGCAAATGCAGGATGGACGCCCCAAAGATGGCTGAGGATCCTAATGGTGAAGACTTCCTGGCGCTGGGTCACTCAGAAATGGGACTGAGTCCTAGCCTGGGCACTTAGAACCTGTGGCACCTTGGACAAGTCTTTTAACCTAAGACTTAGTTTCATTAACTGTAAAATAAGGGTAGTCACAGCACCTGATATAGGGTTGGTCCACAATCAGTTAGCATTTGGCACTCCCTAAGTGCTCAGTAAATGTTAGGTGGTCCTTAAAGTGAACTAAAACTTTCTCAGATACTCTTGACTGAAATGATCTAGTTGGGATCTATCACCAGAAAAAAAAACAGTGTGATATTAGGAGTCTATTACAGCATAATTTCTTGGCTTTAGTTCTTTTTATATTGTTCTAAGACAAGGTTAGTTCTACAATGTTCAGGAAATGAAATTTTTATTAAGTATAAGAACAGAGTAAAACCTTAAAACTGCTCAGAAATTGACAAGGACAAGAAAAAGTACTGGGGATATGGGTTTAAAGTTGAGAATCTAATTACCAAAATAATTTATCTTGAAGATGAGAACAGAAACAATCACTAAATAAGTCTGCTTTCAAACTGCCTTACCTAAAATATACAAATATTAGTTTTAATTCTATGTGTCATTGCCTCAAATATCCACTTCACTCAAATATGTAACAATCACAAATAATTTACCTGTAACCATAGGATTTCTGGAGAAGGTAACTTCTATTTCTTTATGGACCCTTTGGCAGGTAAAGTACCTTTAATTAATGAATAGACAAGGTTCCACACTATGGCCTACCTAAGAATTAATTTTTATCAGTGAGCTGAGTCAATCTGCACGATGGATATAGCACTCTAGACAGCAATAGGGTTCTATAAATATCGATCACTGACCTCACGAAACTCTGAAGTTACATACTTGCCTTCTATGATTTATAATCTATGTAACATTATCCTACTTCTGTTCTGCTTATTTATATGCTCAATAATACAAGACCATTTGGGTACACAACAAGAGGAGAGTAAAGGCAGCTTGGAGAGTGGCATCTTGGGGTACCCTCTAGGGATAGTGGCTTTCCCAACAGTTATAACAATGCCCTGGGTCTGGGGATGTGGTAGGACTTTACTGGGCAAAATTCAGGACATGTACCTGGCAAGGCACGTAAAACAAAAGCAAAAGCACAATCTGTTTTGCCTTTATTATTCAAAAATATTCCAAAAATGAGTGCATTTTTAAGAGGTTTGCCTTTCATGGTTTTAAGTAAAGCATTTTCGACATTTCATTAATTCTGGCCTAAGCAGCTTAAGTTGCTGATTTTGTTGATTTCTTTTCCCAGTAGTCAAACATTTCCTTTGCCTACATTTCTTAAAGCAGATTGTAACAGGGTCAAATATAAAACTGGACAATATGGATTTCAGAATCTTTGCTGGCTGGACACAGACGTCACGTCTGGGAAAGATCCTCTGAGGTGAACTAAGCTATTAAAGGCTACTAAAGTGAAACAAACTGAGGCTGGTATTCCACATAAAATTTTGGAAGGACCAAGGGAAAATGTCCCATTCCAAGAAAGGATATATTGGCTTAACACAGACGCTCAAATATCAATCCTCTGAAAGGAGTGGAGTTGTCAACAAGCTGCAATCTCCAATCCTGTCTGGGGTGAGCCGAGACCAGTGGTCCAGCAGTAACAGAATTTGTCATTAGGATCAAAGGAAGCTCTACTTTAAAAACAAGTGCCATCCAACCCTGACTTTTCCAGCCCATAAGTCCCTTCCTTCCTTTCCTCCTCCCTTCTGTATCAGCCAGTGCAGAATCAGCTCAGGCAGAAATGATGTGGTGTCTTCTACTTGGGTTCTCAGTAGAAATGGCAGGGTCTAGTCTCTGGGAAGCAGATTTTGCTTTCAATCCACAGATGTATATTTTATGGTGGCTTCTTGAAGGATCAGATCCTCAAAACTCTGGACTGAGCAGGAGTGGGAGCTGCTTCTTTTCTTTTCTTCCTTGAGACCCAACCAGAAAGAATACTGCTTATCTTCTGGCTACTTTCTTAGGATCCTTCTTTGAGCATCCCTGGGATGTTTGCCAATGTCAGGGCTGTGTCATACTTGACACAGAGGGCCCAGACATCACGTTCGGATTCCCTCTACTATGTGGTGGACCAAACCAGCTGAGCACCTACATTTGAGACTAGGGAGAAATTCTTTGCATCCCTTAGCTTTATCAGGTAAAAGCATGGCCAATGGAGTCTGCATGCTCGGGTTCTAATCTCAGCTTTGCAAACTAACTGACTGGGTAACCGTGGGCAGTTTAACCTGGGTCTCAGCTTCCTCATCTGTAAAATGGGATAATAACAGTACCTATTTTGTGGGATTGTTGTGAGGAGCCCATGAGTAAGTATATATAAAGCACTTAGCACCATTATAACAATATTAGCAAACATTTATCAAGCCTTACCATGTGCTAGACACCACTCTACCTTTGTTTACATGTACTTGTGAGGTAGTAATAATAATAATATTACTATTTCCATGTTAGAGGTAAAGAAACTGTGCCTGAGGTCCCACAGTGATTAGGTTATGGGATAGGATTCTGGCTCCAGAGTGAATACTCTTTAACCCTCTGCTGAAGTAGCCTATAAAGATTCGGTATTTCTATGACCAATGTTTTTGCTAATGATCAAAATAGTATTTCCTACCCTTGAGGGGGTTCAGAGGCTAAAATTATGGTAAGATCTTTAGGGAAGACACTTATCTGATCCTATCATAGTAGGAAGCTGACTCCTCCATTGATTATATAAGGTCCTGAAACTGAAAGCAAACATTGGATTTGAACTCAGTGAGTCAAAAGCTGTGAATAATTAACCAATCCAAAGAACGGTCTGATGCATATATCCTGCTGTACTTGGGGCTGGGAATGTGCCTGCAAATAGCTCTTTAGGAAGGACCTACTTACTAGAAAGAAGTAGCACTTATCTGGAGGAAAGACAATTCACAGGACAATCCCACTAGGATAATAATGCAAAGGCCTTTGTCACCTGAGCAAAACCAATTTTTGTTTTCTCCTGCTATGACTTCTTCTGGGTCATCATGGTCACTGGTCAGTGTGGTGGGGAGGGTGGGGGATATCCAGGAAGCCCTGTGGAGTTGTTGTCTGATGTCTCCAAAGCTTTAAAGCTCTGTTTGTCCCTTTAACAGCACGCAATATTTTTAGACTTTGGATACAATCCAGTGGCAGTCACGCTGCTCTGGCGGGGGCTGCGGGAAGCTGTCCCATGCCCAGCTGCCCCGTTCCCCCTACAGAACAAAGCATCCCTGCTCTATAATTATACCAGGAAGAGCTAATAAAAGCCTTCCATACAAACCTCAAAATTCAATTAGTCCTGCATTTGTGAGCCTGACCTCGAAGACAGAGAAAGGCTTAGCTTCTGATCAGCACAACAGTTCCAGCTCAGTGAAGCCGGCTGCTCCCAAATCAAATTCCCTTTCTGTCTTCGTGTGCTAAGACTGCCACATTACCTGGTTGTTTATAAAGCATCGTCTGTTTGGAACATACAGGGTGTCTCACTTTTGAATTTCACTGGGTTGTCCAGTGCCACTGACCCTGGCTGAAGGATTTCACATAGAATTAGTCCCTATAGTTATGTTATTTGTGCAGACAGAGGCCACTTTTATAACGTCTTGCTCTCAAAACTTAAATGAAAGCACCTGCTGGGAGGCTGGCCTCAACAGTTATTATATCTTGAGCCATATTAACAGGAGAGGTGGATTAGGGAGTCTCTCCCCTCGGATAATAACTGCATAGCTTTTTCTTACTGTCAGTTCCATGTCCTCCTCGTCTTTTTCCTTTGTGGGCTTTTCTGGTTCTTCCTGCTCCTTCTCTTGGAGGTGGATTTCCTGGGCCTGAGTCATATAGGGCATATCGTCTTTGTTCTTGAACTCCAAGCTGAGAATTGAAGGAGGAAGTAGAATTCCCAGAATTACCTAAAGTAATAATAATGATAATAATAATAATCACATTTAAAGGATTAAGATAAGGGTGGTCGCTTAGAGTCAGAGAGCCTGGGGTGTGAGGTCTGTGTGTGTGTGTGTTCACGTGTGGGTGGATGCGTGTTGGTTGTGCCCTGAGTGAGGACCTGGATATCTGAACCGCTAAGCACATCCACGCTAAAGGAGTCACTTCTGCCCACGCTGGAACTGTTAATGCTCAGTAGCTCAGTCTGATTTTGGAGAAAGCAAGCATCTTACCCAAATACATCTCACCTGATTAACACCTACTATGCATGGGGGAAACTGAGAAAAAGACCCTATTTAAGGCAAAAGTGGTAAAGAATTCAGATTCCCATTTAGCCATTTGATAGCTCTTAACTTTGTGAAATCAATTCATACATATGTCCACTGACATTCAGTTGCTAATATGCCAAGTGGAGTTGATTATGTGTCATGTGGCTATCTCTGTAAAAAATACTGTCCTAAGTTGACCTTGAGAAAGTCCACGTTGGAAAGCATGTCACTCATTTTGGAGAGATTCCCCCTCAGCATTTGCTGCTGTCCAACAGAAACTGAAACACACACACACACACATGCTGTTATCACTATGAAAATCCCTCTGCACAAGTGCCCTAGGAGGCCTAGCACTATATTTCTCTCATGAATAAACAACATGCTTAAGTCTCCATGTGACTAAATTCACTGGCTTTTCTCATGAGAGGGCAATAATCTCATTCTCCCTTGGCAGGGACCAAGTGCATTTCTAAATGTTAATACTGACATCTGACTTGTGTTCCCCAAATCCTCTCCCACCTCTTCCCTCAATCTTAAAATGGTTCTGTGTATAAGGCTTCTGAATATGAACCTCCTTGAAGAAAGTATACCAAAATGAGGAGCTAACAGAGGTCATGAAGGGTAAGTAAAAATTATCCTCAAGTAATGAGGCAAGAACAGCCTGTGCTCAAATGCCCAGGGACTTGAGAGCAGCTAAGGGAAAAGGAAGAGTGGTGACCCTGACTCAGGGTGCCTGGCAGGCCTGGGAAGGCTCAGGTGGCATGCCTGGCAGCCTTTAGGGGACATGACACCCTGTCCTCGGAGCTGAGAGCCAGGCTTGGCGGTCATCAGCAGAGCGGTGATGGAATGCCCATGACCTACTTCACGGAATCCTTCTGTGACTCTGGGCCAAGAGCCCACAGAAAAGGTGGGATGTGGGGTTGGGATGCTGGTTCAATCAGAGTGACCTCAGCAGATTGCTCTGGTTTGGTGGCCCTTCTGCTTTGGGCTGACCTCAGAGTTACTTAGATCAGGTAGTTCTAGGTAATTATGAGCCTGGCTGGCTTCAGGTGGAACAGCCACAAACTGTAAACAGACAAAGCAATTTAAAACATTCTTTCAATCTTCCCCTCCCATTTTTTTGTCTCTTTTTAAAACTTTTATCAGTTTTAATGTTTGTAAAACACTGAAGAAAACATACAAAGTCAAAAGCCACTCATTATCCTACTTCTTGTATATTCAACCCCAGGGATAACCACTACAAACAGTTTACCGTATATCCTTTCTGTTTTTCTTAAACAATGAAGTTATATATATATATATATATATAACTGAGAATTGCATGGACATGCTTAAAAAAGAAAAATGGACTCAGGCCCTATATATGCCTGAAGAAGAGATCAGGATATCTAGCAACAACTTTACACATAAATCTATCTCATTTTTATTTTGGTTCAGGCTCGCATGCAGGTAAAAGGTTGCCTGAGTTTCTCCTGGGGCAGCATGGCTTGTGCCAGAGTAAATGGTACCTCCTGTGGTACCCGTGTGTGACCAACATCTTTGGAGAAACATTTATATCTAGGCATGATTTAGCAGAAATTGAGGCAAGCCCTCATCTCTGTATTAAAAAGAAAAAAACTCATTATACAGAAGACTCTGATGCACAGTTGGGGCTCAGAACCACCCTCCTGAGATAAGAAAATGCCTAACACCACTGCAGATTTGGCTTGGAAAACTCCGAGCAACCCTCTGGTCCTCATAGCCAAAAGGGCCTTCTGGGCGCGCTGACCTTGAGGCCTGAGTTCTTGCGCATCCGGAGCCGCCCCATCCACATGTCTGTGAGCAACATCTGGCTGCACGTGTGCGCGATGAAATCGCGGTGCTTGGCGGCCACTGCGAGCTGCAGGCATGTGGCATTGCTCCAGTTCTTCAGTTCATATGTCAGCAGTTTCATGGCCAGCTGCTCATCCTGCTTGTAGGACTGGTCCAGAAGCTCCACGGCCAGCTGGCCAAAGTCCCTGAAAGAGAGAATGAGGTGCTGTCTTTTGGCCATCTTGGAAACTTAGCTGAAGAAAGTGGGGACCCATTGGCCAAGCCATAAAGGGTGGTTGCTATGTGCTCTGGCTGTTTCTTATGGGGTCTAGTTTGTTTATTCATTCATCCAGCCAACCCCCGTGAATCATTTACTGTGTGCCACATACCATGTTTAGAACTGAGGGTGTATGGTCCCTGTATTCAAGGCCCCCAGTTGAAGGAACATGGATGGGGAAGCAGACTCAAAAGATCAGAGTGCAGTGTGTTGTCTTCTTAAATGTGACAGACCTCAGATCATAGCTGAGCCTTGTCAACCCCAAGTGTGTGATCTTGGAGAAGTTACTTAAAGTCTCAGAGTCTCATTTTCTTCAGGTGTAAAACATGCATCATAAGGGGACCTACCTCTTGGGGCAGTTGAGAGGATGAAATGAAATCTATGCATCTGTAGGTACCTCTGTATCTAGCACCATGCACCATAAATGTTAATTATTTGTGTCCACCCTCTGTGTGCACTATTGGGGTGATACTGTCTCCTCTTAAAGTACTGGGTAGCTCAGACAACAGTAGTTGGGGTCCACCTTCCCTTCTCTTCCCCCGACCTCCCCATTTGCTGGGCTGTCCAACCTGGAGTTGTGGTTCAGCTCCTGGGAGATGTCATCGACCATGTCATTTTCGGAAGCCTCATGAGCCATGGCTTTGCAGAGCTTGCAGGCCACCAGGGCCTTGGCCATGGCCTCCTCGCCATGCTGCCAGAAGAAGAGGGCCATCTTCTGCCGTTTCATCAGGACAGCCCACACCATCAGCTCATGGAAAGGGAAAGGGAAGTGGTTGATCTCTGGGTCATCCAAGTCAATGTCCACCTCTTCTTCACGCTTCTTGGTTGTCTTCCTTCCTCGCCTCAAGGGAACATCATCCTGTAATTTTAGGGAAAAGACACAGAGGTTGAGTTAGAAATGAATTGCTTCAATTCAGTAAATAGTTACTGTATCTACCACTTGCCCAGCTCTGGGATAGATACAGAAGTGAACCATGCTATCCCATACATGCCTAACTTTAAAACAAGTTACAATAACTGCATAAGCACAGTTCTATGGGAACATGTCAGTGTTATACTTTAATTTTTTTAAGTATTTTTAATGGGTCCCCCCCTTTTTTTTTAACTTTTGCCCATTTTTTCCTGTACAGGTAGGGTTATTTGTACCTCATGGTGGACAACACTATCTTTTCCGGTGAAAGGACAAGGACATCCTATACTCACATTTGCATATTTGACAATAACCACATGAACAAAAGATGGGAGACAAGCTGTCTCAAGTTTCTGCATACTTCATTAGATACGTTTGTGAAGAATTTCTGGACTTTGGATCTGTTGCCATTTGTAAACATTCATGAGTAGATTTCATTTACTGGAATTTATTTGCTTCCTTGGCTTTCAAGTTAGGATTTTTTTTTCAAACAGGATTTATTTTCCTGTTTGCAATACTAACATAACCTCATGATAGAATTTTTAAAGCTATTGTAAACCTGCCCCCTTGATACTGGGAAAAATTTCACTTTCTTATTTTAGAATCATGTACTGAGCCCTACCACTGGAATGAACTTACATACTTTAAAAATATGTAATAAAGAGAATAAATAATTGACACTAATAATTCGAGCAAACACTTACCTCCATTCCTAGCAGTTTCAAGGCTTTGGGCTGTTAAAAAAAAATGTTATACACAAAGTTAGACCTTTCTTTATAGAGGTAAGAAAAGAATCCTACTATATCTTAAACAGGTAATGGAACGAATCTATTGTACCATATAGCATTTATTCATTTCACTAAATAAAACACCCTAAGGGGAACCTATTTATAGAATTTCTAAGAGAATTAGGGATATAGTGATTTTAGAATTACAGAAAATTAGGAAACTGGAGAGGCATGAGATTTCCCAAGGGTAGAGCCTGCAGGCTTATTATCTCTTTTGTGGACCAAGATTTCTTCCATCTTCCTAAACCAACCCACTTGGCTGATATCTCCATGACATCAAGCACTTGAGTGAACAATGAAACATCCCATTAAACTATGAGATGTTTCTCAAACCTCGGAAAGACCTGTTATTTGAAGACTTGGGATAACTCAGAAATACTCTGTTTAGATGCTTCATGCTGGCTGTCTCTCTCTGCTGCTGTACAGTAGAGCAAGGGTGAGTGGGGCCAGAGGCACACGTGCTGATGGCAAAAGGCACTCCAGGGCACAGAAAAGTGTAAGCACACACAGAAGCACCACCGATCACACTGGCAATGTGAAAGACAGGCACAGACCAAGACGGAAGAGAAGGCAACTCAGCAAGTTATAGAATTAATTACAACTCATGTAGATAAAAAACTTTTGGTGGTGGTGGTGGGGGGGCGTCCTCAATAATTTACAGTATAAACAGATCCCAAGATCAAAAACCTTGAAAACTGCAGAGGTAGATAATAAGGTTGATTTGAATATAATTACTATTCTCTGATCATAAGGTACACTCTCAATGCCAGTTTCTGAGTTGAACTGGACCTAGCAAGGAAAAGAAAGACTTGTAACACTCAGCGCCATTTTTTCCCCTTTTTTTTCCCAACATTTGATGGCAGAGGGAAGAAGAGGCAGGGCGGTTGCCTTCTCATCTGATCTCCTCCTTGGAGACAATGAAGCCACACTCCAGATCTACCGCACCCCAGTCCTCCCAGGAGTCCAGGAAATGGAACCTGCCGCCAGCCTCACCCTCTTGGGGCCAAAGAGATTGTGGTAGAGCGTCCGGAAGCGCTTGCGTGTGTAGTTGCAGCGATAAGCCCCGCCCATCAGGTACTCAATCACCAGGCCGATGTCGATCAGGCTGATTCTGTAGTCTGGGGGCAGGTTCCCCTACCAAGGAAGAACGAAACAAACACACAAATCCAAAAGACAGTGTGGTTTACTAGGGATTCTATTCCACGTGTTCTATAACTATTTTAGAGTAAAATAATAATAATAATAGTAATAATAATGAAAAAAGAAAGATATGAATGTATTATTATGCTGGTTAATCAATTCACCTTAAAATAGATCCAACCGAAACCTGGATATTCTCGCTTGGAAAGAAGACACAAGTTAAATAAGAAGATGCAGTAATCGTCGGCAATAACAGAAAATCAAAATACTTATTCAAGTCTTCAGCTGGGGAGAAAAAAACACCAGTGTAGCAGAAAGAAACACAAGGCTAGACATGGCAAATGCTACCACTCCTCTCCACTGGGAACTAGGGTCCCCACATGTTCCCCCCTCGACCCCCTCGCTGCTCTGCTTCTGACCCAGGCTTGTGACTGTCCTCTTGCTGATCATTTATTTCTTCACACTCACTAAATGAAGACTCCTTCCAGAAGATGATTGTTATTACCAGGGACTTCATCAGGGGAAATATGCTTAGAGCTCCAATCTTCTTTACACAAAACTTCTATTAACAATGAAAAAAAAATGGCACTTTTTTCATTAAAGGAGAGCAGGATGGATGTCATGACAAAGTCCTTTATGAACATCCCTTGTGTTTAAAGAGAAGGGGGGATGGAATGAGAGAAATAATTTTCTTAATGGAATATTTATTTTCCCAGAATTAAAGAGATTTTGCATATTTTCTTTCAAAGAATAGTGCTTCTTAAAGACCCAGAGCTATGGTATAAGTTTTAGCTGCCTGCACGTATAGATGCAAAGACAGAAAAGTTTTTTATTATTATCTACTCATTACTGGTTTCTACTTCAACAGTGAGCTCTATAGGGTCTGAGGAAAATTCTTGCTTTGTTAAGTCAAGGAAGAATCAGGTCTGTTTGTAGGAAATTCTAGGTTCACAGGGAGTTTCAGAGGAGAGAACTGATCAAGCCTTACTGTCTGGTTTAGTTCCCTGATGTGAGAGTGTGCTCTATACCATGAATGTCAAGGGCACTGTGTTTGTGGATATATTTTGAAGAGGCCCGAGGGCTTTGTCCACTCTGGGCTTTGTCTTTAATAGGAGATTCACCCAGGATGCTGTGTGAGCCTTCTGCCACTTCACAGAGGTGGCTCACAGTGATAGTGGTGGTTTTCCAACTCTAGTGGCGTCAGAACCACCTGGGGAACCTGGTGACAGTGCAAGGGCCTGGACCCTGTCCTGCTTCAATGTGTGAGCCTCTATAAGCTGAATGAGCTGTCGAGGTGATCTTGTGGTCAACTAAGTAAGGTTCGGGTGGGATTACACAGCAGAATTGGGAAATGCATAGTGTATGAAGATTATCATTGTCATTAGGAAATTAACTTACGTAGTTTTATTAACTGAAGGTAGGTTCAGTTCTCCTTACTCAGCTCTCCTATGGTCAACAGCATCCATTTGGCCCACTGTATCGAATCATCAGTCCTATAACACCATTTTTTAATTGTTTCATTTATCTTTGTATTCCCAATACCTGCTATATGACAGGCATTCAATATTTTTTTTTTTTTGGTCACAAATGTGAGTAAGTGATAGAGTGAAATTAATTGACATGGTTGGGATCAAGTCTTAGTTTGGGGTTTTTCAGCATTATGTTCTTAGTAACAACTCACTAGGTCACTAGGCACAGTGTATGAGTCGCCCCCGGCTGAGAAAGCCCCAGGTCATGGGGAAGGCTGATTTGAAATACATACATGTACACCGCTGTGTCTGTATTCTCACTGGGGTAGGAACAAGGGGTAGCAACTGAAGCACCAACCCAAGAGACCCCAGTGCTGCTCTCTAGACCTCCTCGCTGCTGACAGACTTACTGCCTAGCCTCGCCCCCCGGGATCTACCTCTCCCTTGGCCTGGGCTGGCTTGGGGACCTAATTTGAGCCCTTTGAGCAGGATGGGACTGGGTGGGCATTTTATACAAGAGGGAAGAACCACAGAGCCCCTCCCATCCTTAACCTGGGCCGATGAGAACTCTATCCGAGTACCTCTTTACCTGAATTTTCCTGTCCCCAAAACTGCTTTCTCCTCTCCTCCCTACCTTTCTCAGAAGTTTGAAATCTCCTTTGAAGATTAGCGCCACAGTCTAACTGAATCTCCAAGTCAAGCTATCCCCAGGCTTATCAAGAAAGACCAACTGTCCAACTTCTTCATGTAAAGGCTTGGCAAACGTATAAAAATGGGAACTCAGTGGAAGATTTACCTTAAGATAGTAACTGTTCATGTATTGTTCTTTCTGTAAACATTCAACAGAATCTAAAAATATTGCCTGTGCAACCCCATGATTTGGGGGGAGGTTAACAAGGCTGTAGTTTCTGTATTGTCTGGCTCTCACTGGACAGTTAGACAAGGCTGTTATTTCAAGGGCAGAAGAGCCTGAGCACACTCAGGGCAGCCTCATCCCCATATACATTTGGCTTCTACAAGGATGGCCCCAGAGGATGCCCACCCCAGCCGTGCTATTCTCCTTGGCACTGTGAGGCTTGCAGGGGAGAGAGCACTAGATGCAAGCCAGCTTCTCTGGGCTCTGCCTGTTCTGCATAAATCAGCCACTTCCCCTCAAGGCCTCAGTTTTCTTCCCAGTTAAAGGGGTTGAACTCCATGTCCTCCATGATCTGTAATGTTTAAATACCAGGTTTCAGAAAAATCCCCAAAAGGCTTATTGTGATGCTACTTAAACGCAATCATAGCAAGTCTATAAATTTGTGCCTACTTTAAATCTTGTAAATTTCCTGAATTTAAAACTTGGGTAATAGTGAGCCTAACAGCTATATATTTTCTTTTGAGAAACCTATGTGTGAACATGAGTTAGAATGCTAAGAACAAGAATCAATGTTGCCTGAAGGCCAGTATTGAATGGCAACATTTATGCCTTTGAGGTGTCTATAAAAGCGAGTTGTTAGGAAAGTAATAATGATTAAATTCAAAATAAAAAAATTTTAGAGGGACAACAGTTTCTGCAAAATTTTATGCAAATTCATAAAGGACTGATAGGCTTATATACTACCAAAGAAGGTGCTAGGATATTCTTTTCCTGGAAACTTCTTATATAAAGCTTGATTATTTCGGAGTGGTTTTTGTATGATCTGGTCTGAAGCAGGAGAAGGACTCGGTGACCCTTCCAGGTTACTGAGCTTTGAGTGAGGGCCTGAAAGGAACTGGCCTGTATTCTGTTTGACCACAAGGGGGCGATGGCTACCTAAACGAAGGCAATGAGGGTTCCTCCCTCACCAGTATTTACCTGCCTGTTCTGTTTTACATGTGTGAAAGGCAATGTAAAGGAATACAGAGCTGACGAGAAGATTTGGGAACAAAGAGAGAGTCAGACACTCTTTCTGAAGTGATATCCGGAGGAGGGAGAGCTTGTTTTACCAAGTAATGTGTTTGAACTCAGCCTGCAAGACTGATTGCATGTGCTGCTTTCCAGAGGCTTTTGGGAGTGGAGACATTGAGGGAAATTAGTTTTACAATTTTTTACTAGGGAGAATGGAAACCTTTGGGGAGGAAGAAATAGATTTCATAAAATGAATAAAATTGGGTACAATTTAGGCCTTCTAGGATGACTGTGCCCTGGGTGAACTCTGAAAGGGATGGCAGCACTGGTGAATGTCTGAGATGCTGGACAGGTGGTCTTCACCACCTGTGACCTGCAGATGTCACAGGTGTCCAGAGAGCAGCCACCAACATAGCCCCACAGTGGAGACAGAACTAGGATGAACTGTAGTCATCACTGCCCTCCATTTGACCCTGGATAGATCACTTCCTCTCTGTACTTCAGTTTGTGCTCTAAAAATAGGCAGTGTGGACACAGTTACTCCTAAGGTCCTATGTCTAAAGGTCCAATTGTTTGATCACTACCTGGCAAGCTGCTCATATTCCTATGCTGCCAGGTCACTCGGCAGAGATCCCTGTCCAGAACTTCCAGAGTTGATCCACTTTCCAATAATCCCCTGGAGTTTGGTTAGTGGAGATGGTGGTTCAGAGACAAGGGAGGACAGAGGGACAGACAGGGATGGGGTTATGCTCATAACATCCACCTCCTTTAGAAAAAGTCAAGACATTGCCACCTCATATACCAACAGGTAATGTCCAAAAACCTTCTGGAGGAGTCTTTCTTTGCTTGGCTCCTTTTCAAATAGGAAGTCAGTATACTGGAGTACTATTCATTCTGCCTGCTGTTTCTGTTATTCCTTGCTCCCCTTTTTGGTGATTACTTTGGTAACTGGTAAAGCCTGACACTTATTTCCCATTTCACGCCTTAACAACACATAGCAAGCCACAGGACTCAAATAATTTGGCCCACAGAATAAGAGAGAGGCTTGGATCTATGGGTAGGTAAATCTGACAACTTGAAAAGGTTGTCTCCTTTTTTCATGCTATGAGCTATGACTCTGAAGCTAAATTTTAATCCATGCCACGCCCAAGGATGTCTTTTAATTAGAAGAATAATTTAAACTCACTTATTAGATCTGCTCTTCTAAATGCACTCTGTGTTTTAGATGTCAGCTCATGTTATTACTATCAGATTTCAGCTGTTTAGGGAACTTTTTTTTCTTTGAAACTCATAATAAGCCTTCAAAATAAGACTGTTTCCTTCTGATGTATGTAAGGTGTAAAACGATAGCTGGTTGTCAGATTCACCAAGGGAGAGCGGCAAAAAGACCATCCTGGTGAAAATTCATGAGAAAAGAGGACATTCCCTCAATGTGTGGCATGGCAGTGGATTGGGCAACCAGTCTTTAAAAAAATAAGAATGTTTCTGCAAATTTGCATGGATTTAGCAGATGGGGTTATGAAAATGTCCTCTCTTTACCCAGTGTGTTTGAAATACTTTTTCTTAAAAATTCTGCCAAGTTCTAGGTCTTGATTCCCATGTAAGTGAATTTTAAATGATAATTTCACCACTACTCCTACATAATACTCAGATATCGCCCCCCTTTGGTGGGAAGGGATAATGCAGGCAGTCTGAAGTATTAGCACATTTAATTTAAGGAAGAAAAACTACTACTTTAAAACATACAGAGGCACAAATTGAGCAGACAGTTAGCTACTAAAATGGCAAGTTATATTTCACGGAAAAGCAGACAGACTTAGGCCACTCTGGTTTAATATGAGAGCATTGGTACATCCAATGGATTTATGCATGAAAATGGTTCAGGAAACTGGTTTGGCTTGATACCACTTTAAATTTCTGATTGATACTGAATAGTTAGCAACTCTACCTCATTGCTCCTAGATTGCTCCCTTGATATAAATAATTTGTAATTTTGAAACTAGATTTGAAACTATCCTTTGAAGCCCACAGAACTTCATGTTCAGTTTTGTACGTTTCAAAGGATAGTGGGACTTGGAGACGTCAAGCTGGTTAACTTACGATGGTCTGACAATTTCTAAATGCATTCTCTGGGCTCAAAAGAATTATTTACATTTAATTTTATAGACATATTATCAAACACTATGTTTAAGGTCCAGAATTGTGTTTCTAACTTTTGAACAGCATTCATTTTGTACCAGGGCTTATCACTTATGGATTAATTTTTTGGTCATAAATTACATCAATTAATATGTACATAAAGTCCTATCGATCAGAAAGCACAAAGTACACGCTAATTATTATGTTCCTTACTTCTGAAAACTGTCTAAGCTGCCCAAGATTTTCTTAGCATTTTGAAACTAGTTTTTGTAGATTTTTCATATCTTAATGGCATGAATTGCTGGAAGTCATCTGGAATCATCTGAGGAAGATGTGCACCAATATTAATTTCTCTCTCATTCACTTCTTAAAAAACTACAAACAAACCTCCCCCCCTCAGCTCCTTTCATCCATAAAACGTAGACACTTCCAACTCCTGTGGCTACCATTGTTATTCCTTCCTGCTCTCCAATAGTCAGACACTCACCTTTATCTTAGAAATAAATGGAGTCTGCATTTTCTGCCCCTATTTATTCCCAAGGGAAGGAACTAAACATAGGTTTTCACTTCTCTCCACCATACTGGCGCTCTCTTTTCCCATGAAAAGGGGTAAACTGTTTCTAAGCCAGTCTAGTACTACCCTGAATGATTTGTTTTCATATTCTCCTGTTACTAAATTAGTAAGCAAACGAATCCTTATATAACTATATTCTTGCTCTGTTATTTGGATCACACTTGAAAGAAAACTAAAACTACTCCTGACTGATAGTCCTTCCTCCCCAATCCTTACCATCCTGTCCTTTCTTGTTAGTCTCTATTATTTTTGACGTACATCTTTAGCTCAGAAAAAAAAACAACCTACCTTAAAAATCTCTACAGGCCTTCTACTAAATGTAAGCAAATGTAGGAGGCAGCTAATGGGATTTCAGAAAAAGGAAAATGACACTGCAAAGCAGAGTCCTACAGGGAAGAAAACCTATTAGGAGGAATTTTAATCATTTGTATTCAGTAAAATTTAACGGCAAAAATTCCTTTGAAAATCAGGCAAGACCTTGAGAAACTGGGTGATGGAGGTGGATGAATGACTTTATTTGAAGGCTTGGATTGGCCAATGGCTGGGACTGAGGGACAAAGGCACAGATTCCTTCAGTGACACAGACAAGATTAAGGTGAGGGGGGTACTATTTTACTTACTATTTTAGAAAAACTCAAGACATTTGCTGAACACAAGCAGCAAGTATCCTGGCAAAGAATACATGCTGGATGTGTACACTTAATCTTCTGAGGTACTTCCCCCTTGTTGAATTTCTAGGCAATTTTAAGCCAAGATAAATTAAATAAAATAGGAAGATTTGAGGAAAAGAGAAATGGGTTTGTTGAAGGCAGCTATGCTTATAGCTTGAAATGAGGCAGGGCATGGAAAGATGTGATTTTGGTAAAAGAAAAAAAAATCAGGTTGCTGGGTTGGATGTACAGATTATAAAGCATCTGGTTTCCTTGCTTTGAAAGAACTACAGGTTCCAGTCACATGAAGATGGGTAATTTTTTCTGTAAGATTATGTGGAAATGAGAAGAAAGTTCCCGAGGGCCAATTAAAGGAGGTTTTTTGTGCCCTTTACTCCTTAGCAGCAAAGGCCCAGCTGGTTAATAGGTACATTATAAGCAGCCAGAGGGCCTTTGTTTGGTCTTTTGAAGGAAAAATTAGAAAGTGGGTACAGGACACCTGAAGGGTAGTTCTAGCCAATGACTTCCCTATGAGATGAAAGAATTTTTTACCTTCCTTTGTAGCTTTCTCTAAGTATGTCCCATGGACTCTGGCAAAGAATTGCTACAAACTGGTAGGTAGGTATACCTGTGTGTGTGTGCAAACACGTAAGTATGGGGTGGGGGATGTGCTACCATCTATTTTATCCTTTGGAGTTAAAAACATCACTTTCTGGGAACCTTGTCGAGGGTTCAGAACTGAAGCTACCTCTAAAAGACTGAATAGGGAAAAAGAACAAGTACTTGGTTAAGATTAAATATAACCTCCCTGTGCCTCATTCTTCTCATCTATAAGTGGGAATACTACTATATAATAATAAAATAATAACTCTACTTCACAGAATTTTTGTGAAGATGAAATGAGCTAAGATGCATAGAAAGCTTAGATTAGTGTTACACATAATCTTCAATAAACCCTAGGTGTCATTATTTATTATTATCACTATATTATTATTAAAGGATCTGAGTTCTAATCCTAGCTCCTAACTAACTAACTACTCAGTACGGTTCTCACCTCCTTGTATTTCAGCTTCCTCATTTTACAATTGGGAATAAACCTACTTGATCCAAACCAACTGGCTTTCCTCCCCCTCAAATTAGATGATGAATGTGGAAAAATACGCTGGAAAAAATATGGGGGCAGCAGAACGGACTATATGTGTGTGTGTGTGTTGTAGTCTCTTTTCTCTGAGACTTTCTGAGCTATGCTTACTATGCTTTGTGTCATGCTAGAAGTGGCAGTGATACACTGTTGTCAGGAGCTAGTGAATACAGATATTTTTCATGGTCAGCATGGAAACTAGCTCCCCAACAGCGGGGGGTATATAGAAAAACACAGGTAATGGCATAAATCCACATGGCATGGGGGAAAAGCCTAGAGTTCCACTATCCAAAAGCATTATGTCCAACGAAAGCATCTAAAACCACAGAGACTGGAGATAAAAACCGCAGCTGCATCATAAGCAGAGATGTCAGAGTTAAAAGACACACACCCACACCCACACAACCACACACCCACAGCGTCCTGAAATGAGCGGGGTCTGGCAGGGACAGGAATACTCTGGCAGCTCGTGCAAAACAGGCGCTTTCTAATCACAGGAAGCAGTCAAGACACGGCCTCCGACCTGCGGTCGAGAGGGTTCTTACCTTTTTGACATCCCTGACCAAGTGGTACAATGTGTTTGAGGGCCCATGTCTCTGAAAACAATAAAGAAGAATCAAATGGTTTTGCTAGTCAGGAGCTCTCACTGGCAAGGCAAGAAGGGTCTGGACGGAAGGGTTCTGGCTGGCGGAGGGGCAGTTCATTAAGATGAACCTTGTTGTAGTTGCTCAGTTGTACCTGTCATTTTCTAAACAAACACCCTGGCAGGTTTTTGGATTGTGGTTCCTAAAGAATAAGCATTTGAGGTTCTTGGTTCTGACTTTGCAAAGGAGGCCATCAACTCTGTAGACAGCTGGGCCAAAGCATCATTTAAGAGGCTACTTGTACAGTAGCAGGAGACAAAGGAGCCAATTTACCGCAGGAGAGAAGTACACTTTGGCATGTTGCCAACCACAACTTGTTTATTACCCATAATGAATGAGAAACTCACTAAAGCAGGGGTGGGTAGACCTTTTCTGTAAACTGCCAGATAGTTAATATCTTAGCCTCTGCGGGCTGTAGAGTCTTCATCATAACTGTTCAACTCTGCCATTGTGCGGAAGACATTTGTCTGCTTCACGTAAAAATAAAGTGAAGTAGTTTGCCATCACCTGTCTTTCAGGAATAGGAATACTAGATAACAGGATGCCTAGTTAAATTTGAATTCCAGGTAGACAATAAATAATTTGTTTTTTGTTTTAACTTTCATTTACTTATTAATTCTAATGTTGAACTTTTTTTCTTGTCATATTTCTGGCCAATTTTGTATTTCTTTTTTGTATTTACATATTCTTTACATAACAAATTAAAAATTATAAATGTAACCATATATCAGTGATTTGATTTACAGCTTCTTTTGCTTTTATGTTTCATCTTTTTTTTAAATTGAGATATAATTGACATATATTAGTTTTAGATGTACAATGTAGTGATTCAACATTTGTACATATGGCAAAATGATCATTACAATAATTATATTTAATATCAGTCACAGTTTTCAAATTTTTCTCTTGTGATAAGGACTTTAAGATCTAATCTTTTAGCAACTTTTGAATATGCAATACAATATCCTTAACTAGTCACCATGCTATACATTATATCCCCATGACTTATTTTATAAATTTGGAAATTTGTATATTTTTACCAATAACAATGAGTAATTTTGAATATAAATATGTCCCATGCAATATCTGAGATATACTAAAAATTATTGTTGTTTATCTGAAATTCAAATCTAACTGGGCATTATGTATTTTTATTTGCTATATCTGGTGGTTCTATTGGAAGATCTTGGACAGTGATGGCAAATACTTAAGCACAGTTGGAATACATTCAAATATTGAGACAATCCTTGTGTACCACCTCAGCTACTGGCCCCTTCATGTGGACATGCTCATCAGAACTCTTTTTCTGCTAAAGGATACAGTATTATGTAGGGATTAAACACACAGACTCTCGAGTCAGAATATCTGGCTCCAAAACTGGCTCTGCTGCTCACCAGCTTTGACCAGGGGCAAGCCGCTTAACTGTGACTCAGTCTTATTAGCTCTAAAATGAGGACAGATAATACCACTTATCTGGTAGGGTTGTTGTGAGGATAAGATGATGAAATGTTTATAAAACTATTAAGACAGTGCTTAGCACTCAATAAATGTTGGCTATTCTTATTACTGAGGCCATTCACTGTCTCATAATCCTTTTCAACAGAGTACTCCGGGGAAGTTGATTAGAGTTGACTGGAGAAATGAAATCTATTGGCCTTTCCTGATCTGTAACTTTTCTGTTTATTTCTTTCCAATCATTGGAATAAGTCACTCTACTCCCTTGATTCGCTAATTAATATGAATGTCATTCAGTTCTGTGCTTTATTTATTTTACTGAAAACGCCATTATTCTTTTTTCTCCAGGTTTACTGAGATAAAATTGACATATAACATCGTGTAAGTTTACAGTGTACAATGTGATGGTTTGATACTTGCATATTTTATGAAATGTCTGCCACAACAAGGTTAGTTAACATATTCTTCACCTCACATAATTACCGTTTTGTTGTTGTTATGGTGAGAGCATTAAAGCTCTCATCTCATAGTAGCTTTCAAGTATACAATATGGTACTGTTGACCATAGTCACCATGCTTTATATTGGATCCCTGAAGCTTACTTATCTTATAACTGAAAGTTTGTACCCTTTGGCCAACATCTCCCCATTTACTCCACTCCTCAGCCATCATTTTTTGGGCAGAATCTCCATATTATTTTCTGTATTTGGGTCCCTTGCCTAATATTAGTTAGCTGTCTATGCATGGGTTTATTATTGGGCTCTTGATTCTGTTTCATTGGTCTGTGAGTCTGTTTTAATGCCAGTATCATACAGTTTTGATTACTATAGTTTTGTGATATAGTTTGGAATCAAGAAATGTGATGCTTCCACCTTTGTTCTTTCTCAAGGTTGCTCTGGCTATTCAGGGTCTTTTGTGGTTCCATGAAAATATTAGGACTGCTTTTTCTATTTCTGTTAAAAATGTCATTAGAATTTTGAAGGGGATTACACTGAACCTATAGATGGCTTCAGGTAGTATGGGCATTTTAACATTATTAACATTTCCAATTCATGAACATTAGATATCTTTCCATTTATTTATGCCTTCTTCAATTTCTTTTATCAGTGTCTTACAGTTTTTTGATATACACATCTTTTATTTCTTTGGTTAAATTTATTACCAAGTATTTTATTGTTTTTGGTGCTATTGTAAATAGAACTGATATTTCTTTTTTGGATAGTTCATTGATAGCGTATAGAAATGCAACTGATTTTTGTTTATTGATTTTGTATACCGAAATTTTACTGAATTTATTAGTTCTAACAGATTTTGGGTGGAGCCTTTAGGATTTTCTGTATACAAGATGATACTATCAGGAAACGGAGACAATTTTACTTCTTCCTTTTGAATCTGGATGAAAATTTTTTCTTTTTTTACCTTTTTTTTGACTGATTTCTCTGGCTAGGACTTCCAGTGCAATGTTGAATATGAGTGGTGAAACTGGGCACCATGGTCTTGTTCTTGATCCCAGAGGGAAAGCTTTCAACCTTCCACCACTGAGTATGATGTTAGCTATGGGTTTGTCATATATGGCCTTTACTATGTTGAGGTGTGTTACTTCTATATCCAATTTGAGAGTTTTTACCATGAAAGGAGGTTGAAGTTTCTCAAATATATCTTCTGTATCAATTGAAATGATCATATGATTTTTCTTTCATTCTATTAATGTGATGTATCACATTTATTAACTTGCATATGTTGAACCATCCTTGCACCTAGAGATGAATTCTACTTGATCATAGTATATGATCTTTTTAATGTGCTTCAATTTGGTTTGCTAGTATTTTGTTGAAAATTTCTGCATCCATATTTATCAGGGACACTGACCTGCAGTTTTCTTTTCTTGCAGTATCCTTACCTGGCTTTGTTATTATGGTAATGCTGGCCTCCTAACATAAGTTGGGAGTGTTCCCTCCTCTTCAATTTCTTTGAAGAATTGGAAAAGAATTGGAGTTAATTCTTTACATGTTTGGTAGAATTCACTTGTGAAGCCACCTGGTCCTGGGCTTTTCTTTATTTGGAGTTTTTTGATTCCTGATTCAGTTTCCTTACTCATTACTGGTCTGTTCAAATTTTCTATTTCTTCATGATTCAGACTTAGTAGGTTGTATGTTTCTAGGAATTTATCAATTTCTTCTATGTTGTCCAATTTGATGGCATATAATTGTCCATAGTAGTCTCTTATGATCCTTTGTATTTACGTGGTATCCATTGTACTGTGTCCTCTTTCATTTATAATTTTATTTATTTAAGTCCTCTTTTTTTTCTTGGTAATTCTAGCTACAATTTTGTTTACCTTTCAAAATACCAACTCTTAGTTTCATTGATCTTTTAAATTGTTTTTCTAGTCTCTATTTCATTTATTTCTGCCCTTTGTTATCTCCTTCCTTCTGCTAACTTTGGGCTTAGTTTGTTTTTGTTTTTCTGCAGGGCTGCAAGGGCTGCTGGGGTCTTCAGGTCCAGCAGCCAGGGGCCAAGACAGCTAGCAGTGGTAGCTAGAGTCAGTGGTACCCACATATTTGGCTGTGGGGACCAGCTGCAGCTGTCTGTGTAGTGGCAGGGGCCAGCTGCCCAACACATACACAGCGTTGAAGGCCTGGGCTAGCAGCAAGGGCTGGGGCCAACTGCAGGTGCACTGGCAGCTGCGGGGGGCCCTGGCTGTCAGTGGGCATTTCTGTGTCTGCAGGGTGTCATCACAGGTGCATGCAGACCAGTGTAGGCCAGTGACATGAGTCAGGCCAATGGGCTGCAGGTGCACAGCTGAGAGTCTATTTGAAATCAAGTCCAGTGGTGCAGGCCAGTGACAGAAGACAGGGCAGGAGCTGGGCTCACAAGCAGGTTGGGGAACCTTGGCTGTTGACATGCGCTCCTGTGGCTGCAGGGTTTTCCCACAGGTGTGTGCATGGCTACGGAAGTCATTGAAGGGAGTTAGGCTGGGGGCTGCAGGTGCAGAGCTAGGGAGAGCAGCTGCAGGTGAGCCTAGTGGTGCAGGCCAGTGACAGGAGGCAGGGCTGAATCCAGGCCCACATGCAGCTGTGGGGGCCTTGGCTGCTGGCATGCACTCCTGTGGCTGCAGGGTCTTACAGTTTTAGAGTCCTACAGTTCCGTGGCAGTGGTGATGGGCGTCAGACCAGCAGGGTGCGGGTGCACAGCTGGAGGTGCTAGCTTTCAGAGTGTGCACAGCAGTGGGGGGTCAGCCATGGGGCTAAGGCTAGCCTCTTGCAATCATACAGCCACAGAGTCCCGGTCCGGCTGCTGGTGTGGATCTCAGGCTCCAGCAGTGGTGAGGGGAGAGGGAGCAGTGAGGGACTCAGGTGGCTGGTGTCTATGAACACAAATATTTGTAGGGCAAAAATCAGTGAAATGTGCAGGGGCCTGTGGAGGCTGTGCTGGCTGTTAGTTTCTTCAGTGGTGAAAGCTGCCAGGATCCTCTGCAGAGCAGGTCACCAGGAACTGTGGTCGCTCAGCCATCAGACTGGCTCTCACAGTGTGTCTCAGCCTTGCGGGTCTCTGGGTGGGGTGAAACTAAAGCGTGTCCTTTGTGCAGTGCCCTGAAAGGCTCACGAGCTCTCCCTTTCCCGGTGAGGGGAACTCTTTCTAGTTGGCAAGCTTCCCTGGGCACTGAGCGGTACTGGCCTCAGGGGACCAGGTGATACAGGTACAATGAAACTTTTCTTCCCCTCCTTTCAGTGTGGTTACTCTCAGATTTTTCATTCCATTGTGTAGCTGAAGTTTCTTAACTGGACTCCTGAACTCTCCTACAGCTGTCTCTGTCTGTGGATAGCTGTCTAATTGTTGATCTTTGTTGGGGGGCAGAGGCTGGGTCTTCCGCTCTGCCATCCTGGCCCATTATTTTTACTGAAAGTCTTAATATGCAGAAAAATACCAAGAAAAATCTTCAGAGAAAACAGAAATGTGGGACCACTCTGCTAATGTGCTTCCTGTTTGCAGCAGTGGGAATGTTACAGAGCCAGGTGGCACCAGCCAATACCTACCAATGGCTGGGGACAGGTCAATAAGCTCCATCTCATTAGTGCTGTGGCCAGTGGGACAAACAAGCATTGGACATGTAAGAGGAAGAAAAATATCTGAGAAAGAAGCTTTGGTTCAGAAAGAAGCTTAGAAATTTTGTGATCTTGAATTAGCCAATCCATTTCTTGGCCTCAGTTTCCTCATCTGTAAAATGGAGGGGGGGTGGAGTATCTACTTTTTAAATTCCATTGGCTTTTAGCAAGTATCAGCTCAGAGCTAATGTACTTAACTTGTTGACTACTCTCAAAAAATTCATAAATAGCAGTTTTTCTTTTGATTACTTCTTGGTATCCCTAATGAATGAATTAACAAATCTTTACAAAACAAAGCCTTTCTGGTGACTTGAAACAAGAGGTATTTTACATGTTATTCTATTATAGTGGAAAATGAATGAACTTCATAGCTCTGAGGATAGTAAGATGGTGCAGGATAGTTAATTGGCCTCCTTTGATGCTTGGAGATAAATCAGTCTTCCTCTGCTGATTGCCTCAAATATCCTCTGGCCTTACAGAATAAAGTGTGTTCTCATTTCCAGAGCCTGTGGTTTTGTGTAAGAATCAGAGAACATTACCCTTCGGTGATCACATAACTTTCTGCCTCTTATATGCTGACAACTGAGCAGTTAAAACAAGTAGAATCTTGGTGACTCAGAGTTTGTGGTCTACACAGGTCTAAGGGAGTATTTGTGAAAAATGATCCATGCATTTGGATGGGAGGGCAGGGACTCACAGACAAGTGGGGGGCAGGAGAAGGTAAAATAAAAAATGTGGAGAAAATAAAAAGTGCCTTAGCTTGGTCCTACCGTATTGTACAGTTCCTCTAGCCTGGAGATGGTGAGAAAACGGTGCATGCTTACTCCATTCTCTATGAGTAATTTCACAAAATCCACTCTGTCCAGAACTAGGGCATCCAACATGGCTTGCTCCAAAGACCCCACCTGCAAATCAAGTCACTGAGTTAGTCTGCCCCAGGGTCTAGGGTGTACAGTTCTCTGGAGTTCATTGGAACAGTTTAAAAATCGATGCCTTTGACATCTGGTAAACCTTCAGCACATCCAAGAACTTGCTAGCAAGAGTTTCCCAACTCCACGTTTGGGACAGTCACAATCTCTTCTCTGTTTTGGGTGGGGCCTGTCTTTGCAAACAGAACACAAGGATTTCTAGGTCCAAAAGTTATTTCCTCTGTGAATCTTTTTGTTGTTCTGGATTCTGACAAGGTGCAAGGGTTTACAAGGCTTTCCCTCTCCCAACTCTCTGATCAAACTTCTACAAAACCACTGAAGTGCCAAAGTGGGTACTTCGCTGTCTTCATTTTCATCTCCTCTAGGCTCTGGAATCAGACCCCTGGCTGACTTGAGAAGAGGGACCTGAGTAAACAGACCAGAAAGCAGGTTGTTCTTTTTTTTTTTTCCCCTCCAGTTAAGTGATAACCTTGCCTCCATCGCACCCATTTCCACATGGAGACCCAGTAACTATTTAGGTCATTTGGTCTGCTTACTAGGATTTTATTTAATTTCTTTCACAAAATTTCCCAGTGTCCAGCCTTCTTGATAAATCTTTCCACACTAGCAATCCACTGGCACAAGTGAAGCCATGGGCTCAATCCTAGGCAGATGCTCTCTGGGGGGAGGAAGGGTTAAAAAAGACCTGTATATGAAGGTGTTGTCCTTCAGTGATTCCAGGCACAGAAATCAAATTCCAGGCTGCTGGCTGTCTCCTGGGGATACATGCATACACTAACCAATGGCCAATTTTCCAAGTTTTTATTTTTGGTAGAGTCAATTGAGGGAAACAAACCAAGAACAGTTATATAAAGCTTTGGTTGCCTCTGTGTTGTTTTTGGGAATAGGAAGGACCTGTGCTCAGCCTCCAGGACCAGATGGCACCTGCACGTGGAAGCCTGCTAATTCTGTATCCTGAGGTGCGACCCAGCCACACACAGTGCCACCACTTGGAAGCAGCAACCTCCAATACAACCAGAAACAAACTGCTAATTCCACTCCTTCCTTCATTCTAATACATACAATTTTGTCATATGTATTTCCAGGCATATAAAAGAAATGGCATCAGCTGCAGATAAAAATTGCTATCAAAGGCCACTCAGAGAGATGGAAATGTTTGGAACATTTGGAGTTGTGCTTTGTCATATCTTCCACCAGGTGACAGTGTTTTCCTAAATATAAGAAGGGAACTGAGATGGAGGACAGCTACAAAGGAACACTTCTACCCTAAAGCAAAAGCAGCAGTTTCCAGAGCCACAATCAGAGATTCCTTAAACAAAAGCCCTTGCCCAGGCAAGTGAGCTTTTTGGGTGACAACATATACTCTACCGGCCACTGTTGCCCATAAATAAAGATCTGGCTGCGAGCGATGTCGACTCTGTTCCAGGCTAAAGCTAAGCTCAGTTGGTCTGGTGCTGAGGCATTGGCTCCTGTGTGTAAATAAGCAAGAGAGAGAAAACAATGATCAGTTATCATATCAAGAAGACCCACTCCATCACTCTTCCAACCACCCTCTCTTCCTGAAGAGCAGACTTGGCTGCACAGCAGGGGTTCTCCTACTCGGCACTATTGCTGTTTATGGCAAGATAATTATCATGGGGTCTATTCTATACACTGTAGAATATTTAGCAGCATCTCTGGGCTCAACCCAGTAGATGCCAACAGCACATCCCCCACCAAGTTACGACAATCAGAAATGTCTCCAGACATCGTCAGCTGTCTCTTGGAGGCAGGGGAAGGGAGACAAAATTAGCCTGTTGAGAACTGCTGCTCACTAGCCTTGCTAGTCAAAGCGTGGTCCATGGGGCGGTGGCGGCAGCGGCAGCAGCGGCAGCAGCGGCAGCAGCAGCAGCAGCAGCAGCAGCAGCAGCAGCAGCAGCAGCAGCAGCAGCAGCAGCAGGGCATCACTCAGGCACTTGTTAGAAATGCAGAACCTTGGGCCCTACTCCAGACCTATTAAATCAGAATCTGTATTTCAACAAGATGCCAGGTGATTTCATGCGCACAGTGAAGTTTGAGAAGCACTGCTCTACAACACATTTGGTTTCTGCTGGCCAATCTCTGGTTTCAAGGCATCATTTCAATTGTATATTGTGTGGTGATGGTGCCCTTTGTCAACCAGTGAGCCAGCTTTACCACTATACTGAAGAAGAGTTAAGAACATCTTTTACAAGAAAGGCAAACAGATGGCTTAGGTTTACTTTGATTTGTGAGTAGAAACCACTGAACAGTTCTTCAGTTTCCCATTATTCTCTAGACTTTGTTGCTAGATCTGCACTGTCCATACGTAGCTATTTAAATCTAAAGTACTTAAAATTAAAACTTTAATTCCTCACTAATACTAGCTACATTTCAAGTGCTCAATAGCCACACAAGGCTGGTGGCCTTTGAACTGCAGAGTGCAGATACAGAACAGTTCTCTCATCACAGAGATGGTCTACTGGGACAGAGCTGGTCTAGATCAATGCATCCTGTCCATAATTGCAACCCACTCAGCAGCTGGATGTGAAGTTGAGAATGGTAGGTGGAGAGAGCACTGGGCTACAGTCAGAGGATCGGAGGCTGTCATTTCGCTGCTGTGACACTGGACCTCTCTTACCATTTTACAAATGTCACTGCTGATTCTGATGTTTGTGAAGGAAGAAGGGAGAGAAAATGCGGATGCTGCCCATTCCGCTAGGTTCTGCAGTAGTGGAGGCCCAATGCAAGGTGCTGGGGATAGGGCTGCCGTATCAGTGATTCCCAAAGTCTGCTGCACATCAGAATCACCTGGGAAGCTTTTAAAATATCCCTATGCCCAGGCTGCACCCCAAACCAATTAAATAACAGTGCCTGGGGTGGCCAGCCAGGCACTGACATTTTTGAAGATCTCCAAGTGTTTTCAATGTGCAGCCGAGTTTGGGACCCACTGTGCTACATACAGGCTTCCTTCCCCTGCTGACTCTTCCCTCTGGGCTTTGAGATAATGACAAGAAGAATTAGGCAAGTAAAGTGTCCTCTAGATGGGCCTTTCTCAAATTTGAGCATGCATAAGAATAATCTGGAGAGCTTTTAAAACAGATTCTTGGGCCCCATCTCCAGAGATTCTGATTCAGTAGGTCTGCGGTGGGGCTGAGTTTCTGTATTTCTAACAAGTACCCAGGTGATGCCGACGCTGATGATCTAGGACCATCCTTTGAATGACAAGGCCCTAAAGAGCTGTGGTGCTGTGTTCCCTTTATAGGTCAAAGGGCATCTCTGATTTTGGTGTGCAGACATTGATGGGTTCAGTTTAAATCACATACTTGTAGGAAATTAATTAGGGTTTGGAATGATGAACATTAATTCAGTTTACACTGGGATTTTTCCATTAAGAAAAGATTCCGTATCTCTTCAGATGACAACAGGGACTGCAAGCTCATACCAGCGTAACTGGCGTAAATAAGTGATAAATAGGAACGTGTCAAAATGCACTGTCATCATTTAAAAGGAGAAAACAAAGTGAAGGCTCATCGGAGTTACATTTAGGGATATACTTTATGCTTTCCCGTACTTCCTTAGCTGTTCTGTTGGTCACTGCCGACCTGTTGTAATGGTTTAATCATTGCCTTTGCCATTTGTATGCCACAAATTTGTATGTCACCCAAGTCAATAGTAGCTGCACAAATCTGAACAAGAACACACAGCAGGAAGCAGTCACTGAGGTCAACATGAGCTGCCTGAATGCAATTAGCCAAGTGTCAAATGAAAGCATGAAACCAATCAGTTTTGACTTTTCAAAAATTGAAAATACATCACTCAAGCATGGTCCGAGCTGACAGTTTGGATCAGTGGTTCTCAGTGAGGGTAACCAACCATCCCACTTTGCTTGGTGCAGTCACAGTGTTAGCACTGATATCTCTGCAATTTGGGAGACTCCTTGCTCCTGTACAAACCTGTTTGGCTGGTCACTCTATTCTAGCCTGTGGTTGCACATTGAAATTGCTTGGAGAGCTTGAAATATACTCATGCTTGGGATGCATCCCTAAAGATTCTGATTTATCTGGTCCTGGCACTGCAGGTTTTAAAAATTTCCTGAGAACTTTTAAGAACTGGAGGTCCTTAACCTTATCTAAATATTAGAATCACGAAGATGAGGTGAAGAACCTTGAATCTAGATAATATATAGCCATTCATTCACTCATTCATCTGTTTATTCATTCATTTATGCATTCAAAGATACTGACTTCCAAGACTTCTCATACGGCAGGCACTACACCAGTATGAGAAGGTAAGTCAAAATCCTTTGCTTGAGAGCCTACATTCTGGAAGAGGAGAGAGGTCTGTAATTAAATACAGTATTTCATGCAATAACTCATTTATCTCCTCAACAGATATTTATTGAATACTTTCTGTGCCAGGAACTGTTTTAACATTGAATATCCAATGGTAAATAAGATCATTAAGGTCACTCTTTCACATAGCTTATTACTTAATTCCACTGGTAGAGGACTGACACTCAGAAAATAAATGAATAAACAAACTAATCAACAGTGTACTTTCAGAATGCGTAAGTGCTATGAAGGAGCAGTGCCATTCCCAGGATATATGGGGCCTGTGTCTACGTTAAAAATTCTAATCACCTCAAATCAATGGCAATCCATTTCGCATGATCCTAAGACAAAAGTATGGAGTGATCTGCTGGCCAGGCTGCTCTCCTGAAACCAGGGCTGGACATGGAGCTGTTAGATAACCTCATAGCACAAGTCTGGGAGTTGCTCTGGGGGATCTGGTTGACCCCATATGGGAAACTGAGGGTTCAAAAATGCCCTGAAGTACTGAAATGGGTCTGGAGCCCATGCAGGTCCTGGTTTGGGCTCAGGGCCCCACCCATATGGCACTGCAGCCCTACTTGGTGCCAGATCCCAAGTGGCCATGAAGAAGGCCTTTAAAAACACTGGTCTAAGGAGGGTACTAATAATGATCAGAATGCTGGTGGAACTGTTCTGTTAGAATGAGTGGACAGGAGACCTCCCTGAGAGTAAAATTTGAACTAAGACCTAAATGACTGAAGTCATCATGCAAAGAATTGGGAAGAAAGCATTCCAGGAAGAGAAAACATCAAGTGCAAAGGCCCTGATGTGGAAATGAATACAAGTAGGTATAAGACATTAAAATATGGCTTTATTATTTTCTCTTTCTGCAGGAGATCAGGGAAGACTTAAGTGCATATATAAGGATCACATATGGTTTTAAGTGATTAATTCACTAGGCTAATAAGATGAAAAAAGATGTTCTACCAAAGGGAACATTTTCTGAGTGTCATTACTCTACTAGTAGCAAAGGGAATAGTATGCAACAATTAGAGGAGTTAAACAGCTCAGTGAATTTGGTAAATTCATGGGAAGACATTGAAGATTCACTGCTTGGGGTATAGTGTGAGTTAGAAGAAGGGAGAGATAAAGCTAGAATAGAAGGACTTGTAAGTGATGTGAAGTTTTGTTTTATCCTCAAGTCATGAAGAAACCACTGGAGGACTCTGTCTCAGAAACAATGCAGTCAGATTTATGTATTAGAAAAATCACTTTGGCAGCAGTGCGAAAGATGGATTGGAAGAGCATTGTACTGGAGGGAACAGAAGTAGTTAGAAAAGTTTTGCAATATTCTAGGAAAGGGATAATGAGGACCTGAAGAAGCAGCTTGGATTGAGGTATATTTAGACAGCAAAACTGATAGCCTTGGGTGATAGCTTTAAATTGGGGAGCAAAAGAGAAAGAGAAGTCAAAGGTGATGCCCCAGTCTCTAGCTTGGGAGACCAACTGAAATTGGCAATGCAAGATAAAAATGAGATTTTGTGGGCAGAAAAATTTCATTCTTGAATATGTTGAGCTTAAAATGCCTGTGCCATTGGATATTGAGGTCTGGGTCAGGGGAGAGATCAGGCCTGGATATAGAGATTTGGGAAACATTAACATGAAGGTGACAAGAGGAAAAGGGCAAAGGATGGGTAACAGAACAGCACCAATCCTTAAAAAGTATGAAAGTAAAGCACATCTTTAAAAAGAAAGTGCGCACGTGCACACACATACACACACGACCAGTCAGAGAGATAGGAAGAGAACTGGAGATTATGGTGCCTCAAACTATGGGAAGAGAGATTCTCAAGAAAGAGGGGATGGTCAATAGGCCAAAGGCTGCAAAGAGGGCAAGTGAAAAAGACTGGTTTTCCTTCTTTACAACGCTTCTCATTACTGGGCACCAGCTTATGCATCTATTAGTTTAGTATTTATTTCCTTCACCGGAATGTAAACTTAGTCTGCTTTATTCACTGTTGTATTCTTAGAGTCCAGAACAGTGCTTGACACATAATAGGTGTTTAATAACTATTTGTTGAATGAACGAATGAATGAAGCCAAAAGTGTACACTGGATTTGGTAATTGAAAGACTTTAATGAAATTCATGTGTGAACCT